ATGACCCTATCCCCTAACGGAATCCCATGGTTCATTCCCAGCCCCCGCTGAGAAACCAGCCAGTTTCATGTGGTTGGCTTGGGCTTGTGGATTGCCCGGGCTTGTCTGTAGAAAGGGAAGACGTGGCCTGCCGCTCGACCCAAAAAGCTTCCGAGAGAATGGCCCGTCCCCCGGGCACGGGCTCAACGAGCAACCAAACAAACAAACCAAACGAAACGAAACCAACTAAACAACCAACCAACAAATCGAAACCAACCAGCCAGACCAAACGAAATTAACCGACAAAACAAAAAAATACCCAAACACCCAAACACCCACCCAACCACCCACCCAACCAACCAACCAACCAACCAACCAACCAACCAACCAACCAACCAACCAACCAACCAACCAACCACCCGCAGCATGTTCTTCGGTGAATCCGGGGCTCGCTTGCCTGCGCGGAAGGGTCCCATGATGGGAGCCCCGTCCAGCGCCCAGCCGATTTGCAGCTCGGGGCCCTCCAGTGGCCAGGCCTCGGCACCGCTGGTCTTCCACCAGGAGCCCTTGGCGGGCGTGGGCACCCCCAGGGACGAGAGCCTGACGCGCGTGCGAAGAAGCACGTGGGGCGGGAGGGCGGGGTGGGGCGGGAGAAGTCAAGATGCAAAGTCCGAAAGACCCCTAACTTCCAGTGTCCCAAGATGGAAAAGCCATCCGTGGTCAAAACTGGGGCCGAACAGAATATGTATCATCAATCCTCAGTTGCTGAGCCTTGCAAAGCGGCTTGAAACTTTCTTGGCGATTGTTTTGTTCGAGTGAAGGCCTTGCACCGTGTGTCTTGTATTTATTTCTGCTTGTCTTTTCTTTTTTCCGGCTTTCCGTGTTTTCTGTTGTTCGGGGTCCTTCGGACTTTTTGTTTTTGTCTTGTGTGCCCAAGACCCCGAAATACACGGCGAACTCCTAGCAGGTCAAAAACTGCCAACTCCTGGCAGGTGGCAAGCACAGGGGCGGCGCATGGTAGTGGTAGTGCCCAAAGGTGTCTCCATGGCCGCCGCAACTGAACGGGGCCATAGTGGCAAAAACCGACGGCTTGTTTGGCCCCGAGTACCAAACAAATAAACAACCAACTTCCATTTGCTTAAATCTCCTGAAAAATAATATGTCCATCCCCCTCTTAAAAGGCAAAAAACAGAGATATTCTTAAGCAAATGGAAGCTACACAACTTGCCAGGAACAAAGGCACTTGTCGAAGAGCCAGGTCATGCCCTCATCTGGATGCTCGTGCACAAAGAGCACCGAATTCATGGCAATGCCCACAACACCCCCAACATGTCCTCAGTGAAGCCCCCATGAAAAGGGAGGGGACAAGGTCACCCCTTGTTGATTGCAAGGGAAGCCCTTCCCCCAACAAACATCAAAAAAAAGAGGCAAAAGCTGCGCCACCGGGTGTCCAAGGGATTGTGCTGGGCCCGGCGTGGTGAAAGAAGGCAGGCTGAGCTTGAGGTCCCTCACTCGCGGGATGTAGGGGTTGACTTGTTTCGCCTGCTTCTTCTGCCCCAAGCGCCGAGCGCCACAGCCGCAACCAGCAGTGGTGGTTGCCCCACAGCCGCAGCCACAGCCGCAGCCGGCGGCAGTCGTGGTTGCCCCACAGCCGCAGCCACAGCCAGCAGTGGTGGTTGCCCCACAGCCGCAGCCGCATCCACAGCCGGCAGTGGTGGTTGCCCCACAGCCGCAGCCGCAGCCACAGCCGGCGGTGGTGGTTGCCGCACAGCCGCAGCCGCAGCCACAGCCGGCAGTGGTGGTTGCCCCGCAGCCGCAGCCGCAGCCACATCCAGCCATTGGGCAGTCGGCTAGATCCACCGCCCCGTGATGCCCGAAGGTGAACACGTCCTGAGCGCGCGACTAAAACTGCTGTCTGGGGCCTAGGATCTAGTCTAGGGTCTACTAGGGTTTAGGGTCTGGGCGCGTATGCAGCGCAGACAGTCCCAGGCGCAGCCACAGCCACACAAACACAAACGCGCAAGTCATACAAGCACAAGCACAAGCACGAGCACGAGCACAAGCACAAGCACAAGCACAAGCACAAGCGCAAGCGCAAGCGCAAGCCCAAGCAAAAGCAGAAGCACAAGCACACCCACACGCACACGCACACGCACTCCCACACCCACACCCACACTCACACCCACACCCACACCCACACCCACACCCACACCCACACCCACATCCACACCCACACCCACACCCACGCCCCCACCCACCCACCCACCCACACACACACACACCCACACCCACACCCACACACACACACACACACACCCACACAAAGCCAAAGCCAAAGCCGAAGCCGAAGCCGAAGCCAAAGCCAAAGCCGAAGCCGAAGCCGAAGCCGAAGCCAAAGCCGAAGCCCACGCCCAAGACAAAGCCAAAGCCACACACGTACGCACGCACGCACGCACGCACGCACGCACGCACGCACGCACGCACGCACGCACGCACGCACGCACGCACGCACGCACGCACGCACGACACACACAGACACACACAGACACACACACAGCCACACACAGACACACAGAGCCACACACAGACACACACACAGCCACACACAGACACACACACACAGCCACACACAGCCACACACAGACACACACAGCCACACACAGACACGGACACAGACACACACAGACACAGACAGACGCACACAGCCACACACAGACACACACACACAGCCACACACAGACACACACAGCCACACACAGACACACACAGCCACACACAGACACACGCAGCCACACACAGACACGGACACAGACACACACAGACACAGACAGACACACACAGCCACACACAGACACACACAGACACGGACACAGACACAGGCACAGCCACACACAGACACGGACACAGACACACACAGACACAGACAGACACACACACACACACAGACACACACAGCCACACACAGACACGGACACAGACACAGACACAGACACACACAGACACAGACACAGCCACACACAGACACACACAGCCACACACAGACACACACAGCCACACACAGACACGGACACAGCCACACACAGCCACACACAGACACACACAGCCACACACAGACACGGACACAGACACACACAGACACAGACAGACACACACAGACACACACAGCCACACACAGACACACACAGCCACACACAGACACACACACACACACAGCCAAACACAGACACAGACAGACACACACACACACAGACACACACAGCCACACACAGACACACACAGCCACACACAGCCACACACAGACACAGACACAGACACACACAGACACAGACAGACACAGACAGACACACACAGCCACACACAGACACGGACACAGACACACACAGACACAGACAGACACACACACAGCCACACACAGACACGGACACAGACACACACAGACACAGACAGACACACACAGACACACACAGCCGCACACAGACACGGACACAGACACGGACACAGACACACACAGACACAGACAGACACACACAGACACACACAGCCACACACAGACACGGACACAGACACACACAGACACAGACACACACAGACACGGACACAGACACACACAGACACAGACAGACACAGACAGGCACACACAGACACACACAGACACACACAGACACGGACACAGACACAGACACAGCCACACACAGACACGGACACAGACACACACAGACACAGACAGACACACACAGACACACACAGCCACACACAGACACGGACACAGACACACACAGACACACACAGACACGGACACAGACACAGACACAAACACACACAGACACACACACACACACACGGAGCTTGCAATGTTTGGAGCCGGAAACGAGGTCAATCAGGGCCAGTAGTAAGACTTTAATCGCTTTTGGAGCCGAGCCGCCGCTCCATCCATTGCGGGCTTGTCCTCGTTGAATCCGAAGCCACACCAAGAGGTCTCAGGGCAGTCGGCGGTGACATGGAGCATGCCATCCATGGCTTCCATGGTCCTTGGCTGGAATTAGGACCCCAGCAACAAATATACATTTATTTTGCCTGGTTAGTGGAAAACAATGGGGACACCCAAAAAGCACAAAAACAAAAAAGGGGAACTAATTCTGGGGAAGAGTCCATGTGGTGTCCATGTGGGTGAAGGTGAGCTGGGCTCCCAGCGCGCCATAGAGGCCGAAGGCGAGTTGCAGCAACATCATGGTCGGGTCGAAGGCTTTTGCGATCCGCTTGATGCTGTGACGGCTTTTTCGATCCCTCCAAAAAGCATTGGCTCATTTGACTCGAAAAGGGCCAAAAGACACATTGCTGTGGGGTATTCGAGACTAGAGATCCCATGGACGCAGCTCACAGTCAAGACGTGTGTAAGACTTGTTGGTGGGCTATGTGTCACCGAGCGGCACATGTCTCTGTTCCAAGATCGACTTGGTACAAAAAGGCTTGGTGCGTTCTAGTGGCGAGGGAAACTCCTGCTACCCCGAGTCCAATATCTCTCACACGCAAAAATTGACCCCGGTTGGATAAGCCCGTCCTAGCTTTAAGTTCTAAGGGGGTGTTCCCCCGCAAAAAGTGGTCTGAATCCCCACCAAACATTTGCTCCCTATGAATCGACCAAGGGTTCTGCTTCCGGGAATCCTGTCCTGTCCGAGTACTGCCAGGAAGCAATTCTGAGCACGTGCCGAAAAATTCGAAAGCCACCCGCAAAGACAGAAGAAAAAACAATGCCATGCCACCAGACCACCGAACCCTCCCTTCGAACATAGCACCAGTGTGAAGCTGGAAGACCATGTTTGTAGGAACCGGAACCCCCTGTCAGGTGCCATGTGAAAAAAGGTTGGAGGGGGGTAACCCTTAGCTTCGAGAAAAAAAAGAAAAAACAACTCCACGCGATGCTCCCCTTAGCTTCGAGAAAAAAGAAAAAAACTCCACGCGGTTCTCCTTTCAAATTAAGATCTCATGATCTCAACCGAGCCGAGTTCAGAAGCTCGCCTCGCCTTGAAGCTGGAGGCAGCATTGAGGTTCAACTGGCGCGACTTCTCTTGCTGCGATATTAGGGAATGAGAAATGGAATGAACCGGAAGGGGATTCCCTGTACGGAAACAACAGTTGGATGGCTTTTTAAGGCTCATTCCCTCATTCCCAACTGAACACCGGCAAGTGGTGATGAGTGGGCAAAATGCTGTTGGATGGTTTATCAGAGAATTTCATCCGTCCACAGAATGAACAGACTCGTGGACATGACACGCGCAATGGCCTCGATTAAAAAAAGACCAAAGTGTGGAGATGCTTTTGGGACAGCATGTTCAGCTTGGTTGAATCGGAATATCCCGAGGAAAACCGAAATCAAGTTTGGGGCCTTTGGGGAGGTCTCTTGTGACATGCCCAAATGAAGCCACAGATCCCCTACGGTTCTCAAGTAGACCCTCGGTTTGCGGCTTTGCCCTAGGCAACTGGCATTCTTCTTTCTCCCGTTCGGCCCCAAAGAAGCAAATGGAACCAACACCAATGGCCGTCACTAAACCATGACCATAATTCAGTAGTGGTTTAGAGAACCTTCAAAATGGCCAAGAGAAAGCCTGGCCCCGATTAATTCGGCCGTCGCTATATCAGCCCCGACTCAAATTGGGAGGCCCCGACTCTTGGGGCTGGGGGGTGTTTGCCAACCATAGGACTCGAGGCTCTGGACAAAATGCCAACCACATCTGACGTAGAGAAAATAAGATTCTCTGACTCGGTTCCCAATTTCCCTCTGGGTGAGGAGGCTCCAGCTTTGGGGAAAGGAACTATGGACTATTTTGAGCGTGTTGGCTAGGTCGTTGGCGCAACTTCCATGAAAATGCAGTTCGAACTGCTGAATTCCACATCCACAGTTCGAAAGGTTGTTTTGAGGCAGCTGAAATGTCATTTTGGGAAGTCCCGCCCGTGTTTGAGATAGTCCACAAGACGGCTGAGCGATTACCATTGCCTTGGGACGTCAAATCACTGCCCAATGTCATGTTGGAGGTTGGAGTGTGGGAGCCGGTGCAATCCTTTCCCCCTACAAAATTTGGTTTGCAACGGTTCCACTGTGGACGGATTTGTTTGTCAATAAGCAGCTTCAATCGAAGAAATGGCTGTTTTCAGGGTAAGCATCATCATGTCCCAGAATCTTAAAGTGTAAAGATCCAAGCAAACAGCATCCAAGTGAACTCCTCCCCAATTTTTCTGTGGCTTCGAATGTTTGCCTTGAGCTTTGCCCCGGGGAAACCTTTGCCATTGCACCGCTTCGCTCCCCTGCGTCGTTTTTTTTGCATCAGCATCAGCTCAGCATGGCACAAAAAACGCCGCGTCTCCAGCTAGGAAAAGACCAACAGAACAAAAACAAGAAGAGCGTGGAAGCAACAGCCGCGTTTCCGTTTTTTTGAAGGAGAGTGTGGAAGCAGCAGAACAAAAACCAGAAGCATCAGGAAAGAGCTTGATTGCGTCAGTAGCACCCCGGCACCACGCCCATCATTTACGGGAACACGAACAAAGCAGAGAGGCAGACCAAAGGTTCCTACTGAAGTCCTGCGAGGAGCAAAGAAAAAGAGAAAGCATGAAAGAGCGCATGCCCAAGAAAGTACTAGCAGGAAAGAGCCACGCAGCACCCCCGTCCATCACTTGCGAGGACCTTCTCAATTTAACAAGAATAAACCCACACGTCGCAAGATAATAAGATAAAGAAAAGACAACGTCCCCACCCAAGTGCTGTGGGAACCTTTCCGAAGGAAATAATGCAAACAAAAGTTCCACAAGCAGCATCAGTGGAATGTAGCTTGATTGCATCAGTAGCACCCCCGTCCAACACACAGAGTTCTTGAATATGTCCATTGCTACACGCGCTGAACGTGTTAAACACATGTAAGAAAACGATTCGCCCCCACCCTGCTCATCTAGGTCCTCCAGTAGAGAGGTTAGAATAAGGGTACTTGTTTTTCTCTGCAGTTTATTTCAGTAGAGGAACCCTCCCCTCAAAAAAGGGTAAAAGGGCACCACTGGGGGACCTAGTCATTTCTATTTCTGCCCTGCGGCAAAGAGACATGAACCGAGCGATGATTTACCCCAAAACTTGCTCCCCGGCCTGATCTCCCATCGGGCCACTCCGCCTCAGTGAGCGAAATGGGATGCACCAGCCAGGACCAAAGAGCCCTGCTAATTTTGAATACCCCTAAAGTCAGGCGCAACCACATGTGCCTAATAAGCTTTTATGGGTGACATATCCATAGCTCCAAAACACGTACCTGAAAATGCCATTAAAGAAAACAACACCTTTTAGAACCTAGGGGGGACCGCAAATACAAAACTGTAAAACCAAAAATAACATATGTCAACCATCTTGAAGTTCTCACGCGCCGCTTACCAACATCCTGGGGCTTGCGAACAGGTCAGAAAGACTGGCCCGAGATGTATGCCCTGGGCAGATCTGACAAACAAAAATCCGGCACTGCGGATGGACAAAATTCATTTCGCACCGCCGTTCAGAAGCCCTGAAATGTTTCGAATCCCACTCAAATACCAACAGGCAATGGTTTCCATGGTTTCAAAGTGGTGCAGGATTTCGTGGTTGCTGTTGACCCCCCTGTCAAAAAGGTTAACTTTTTTGGGGGTTTAGTGGAAAACCCAACTTGGTTTCAACCAAAAAGTCAAAGTCTAAAGATCCGTTGCCCAATAGCAGTCAAGATTTAGTCCATCCACAGTATCTCATGTGAGTCATAATCAAAACCCGGTATTTACAATGGTCTACCCAGAATCATGCTTCACTAACTAAGAAGGCGGATATCCGCAGCTATTTATGGCAAGGGGATCGTCCCTTACTAACCGGATCATCTACCCGAATCGGTTTTGAGCATGTGGCTCAGGTGTAAATCCGGTCCCTCTAGCCTGAGCATGGGCATGTTTCATGGGGCGAACCATGCAGCATGGGTTGTCTTTCCTGTCGATAGACTCGCCATGCACTGGGATCGATGCTCATGTCTATTTCATGCCAATATCAAGAATTCAACGTTATACAAGTCTATCTCCATCATCTAGCTGCACCTAGCTCTTCCCTGTTGAGAACTAGCAAGGACTAGAGGTTCATGAATGGTCCAATTGCATGTGCAAAATTTGGTCTCGAAAACTCGGAATGCTATCCATGTGGTTCATTTATTTGTGATGTCCTTTGAGCCGACTGCACATCATATGAGTCATAATCAAAACCGATCGGTACTAAAATGGTCGTAATCCCAGAACCATGCTTCAAGAATCAAGAAGGCGGATCTCCGCAACTATTTCTGGCTGGGACTGTACCTTACATTTACTAACCTTAATCTACCCGGCTTTTTATTGTGGCTCATATGTTTGCCTCCGACTGGTGGTACCACCCTAGGCCCCGGTGAGCTGTTCTTGCTACTGTAGCTATATATTTCGGAGCCTCCAAAGAGATAGACCGGGCGCCACTGGAGGTCTGAAAAAGGTTTGGTTACTTAGTCCGTAGGGCTTCGCGACTTCCACTCGGAAATGCCTAGTCATCAAAGGGGAAAAATGAAAGTCACGAAGACTGCAAAAGGCGAAGAACCGAATTCTGGTGACGGCCCCCTTCCATAGGTGGCCTTTTTGGAAAATAGATGGGTTTTCCTGGAAAATGGAAGAAACCCCACCTCAACCAGTGCCATCTATTTTTGATCAAACCAACCTAAAAAGGAAACAAACCTATATGCCCCCTTCACTTCGGTTTGATTGTGGCTAAATGTGGCTCCTCCGCGAGGTGGGTCGCGATATGTGATTTAGCCCCTCCAAACAACAAGACAAAGGACACTTTGAACCTAAGCAATCTGCAACACCCCCCCCAACCACTGCTTTTTGGGGTAGAACCCCTAGCTTTTGCTTCAAGGGAGCATTGCTTGTGGCAGATGGGGGTCGCAAAGGGCCACCAGAAAAAAGGAGCTCCTGCATTTCATGGTCCAAAAAAGAAGAACAAAGGGGTCCACCCCGAGCTCAGGAAGCTTGCTGAGGCCTGGACCACCGGCCCCCCCGCGCTCTCGCTCGAGACGCGTCCGGATGAAACGCTGCGGTCCGCGGTGTCAAAGGCGTTTCGGGAGTTCTACTCGAATCGCGTCTAGGCGTATTCGGGGGTGAAGGATACAAGGTGAAACATTTCCCACATGATCCACCGAAAGTTCTGCTTGCGGGGTTGACATTCACCGTCATCCTGTGGCTGGCGGCTTGCGGCTCTACTTCGGCTCTAGGAAGCGCTTCAATCGGCCGAACCAATCCGAACCAATCCGAACCAAACTCAACTGCGCCCCAGCCTCCATGAGTCTCCCACATCGTGTGGACCACTTCTGAGGACTCTCGTTGCGCCGTGCTACTCGGAGTATGGCAAGCTGTGAAAAGCTCCAACCCCTCTGCTCGCCCGCAAAACATGTAGCGTTGTATTTGTAGTTTCGCGAATTCAGAGGCAGGCTCCAATTTGGAGAATCACTCACTTGTTTTAATTTGTTTTGATCTAACGCAGCGGAATGTGTCAAACACAACCGGCTGTTGCACGCAACCCTCGTACCGGTTTGAGAAGAAAACCAGTACATCGACTCGATGGCTCAGGTCTAACCTGGGGCGCATTTTCTGCAGCACGCACGAGCTTTTGGGCTCTCCATGGATCGGAAGTCCTGGGATTGCTGCAACCAATCATCACATGGCAACACCTGGCTCTGTCAACTACCCAAATGGGTTCGGCTCAAGATCTTTTTCAGCTGGGGTTACGCAGGCCTTAGTCTTTGTTGCTTTTGTTTAGCAACAAATGCCATTTTGGTACAGCAGCCGAACAAGCTTAACTAAGAAGACCAAGAGCTCCAACCCCCACAACCCCCCCCCCCAACCTCCGAAACCGAAAACATCATCCCAAAAAACACCCGAAAACCCCAACGAACCGCTTGGGTCAAGACCCTATAGGCTATATAGGTTTTCAGGTGTTGAGAAAACGCTCAACTTTTGCTGCAGGCCCGCTCTGAACATAAATCAGCACCATAAACGCCAAGGATTGAAATATGAGAACAGGCACGTGAACAGAACCCACGGGACAAGACTAAGTCCTCCAGATTTGAGAGGTTAGAATAAGGATACCCGATTTTTTTCAGTCGTCTATGTTAGTAGGGGAACCCTCCCCCCAAAAAGGGGGAAAAGGGCACTACTGGGGGACCTCGATAACCAAAGAAGCCAACAAGATGCACATGACACACCAAGCACAGCAAAGACTTATCAGGCAGCTTCTTTCAGCGACTTGCTTGCGGGTATTCACCGCGTTTGGTTGTTGGTTGGCATCTGATGGAAACCTTCACGGCAAAACACCACGGAGAAGTCTGCCAATGGCCAAAGCGCGAAAGAACCCTCGCGCCCCGGAATGTAATCATGCTCAACAGAGACCAGGTGCATAAAATGAAACCAAAACGGAACCAGGTACAAAACTAAAACAGAACAGTACCCTTGCTCCCACAAACATAGCATCTGTGTGAGGGTACCTGGAAGATCAATTTCCTTTTCAAGGGACCCTGTGTCAGGTGCCATGTTAGCGAGAGTGAGGGTAACTATACATACAATGAAAGCAGTTGACCAACCGCATCAGGTTTCAGACCAGCGATCCCGGGCAAAGTGAGGCGCGCAGGAATGTACAAGACAGGGATCTGCTGCAAGGATCGGTACGCCCACCAGGAAGCTGACTCTGAGTGGGCCCTTCAAGGAGAACCTCCATTTGTTTAAGTGGAAAGAGGAGAACTATGTCCCAGTGATGGATTCCTTTGAAAAACCAACAAGGAAACAGAAGCCATATCTCAAATGCCCAGTGACCATGCGGAAAAAAAAAAAGAGCATCCATGTTTGGTCGGTTGAGCTTCAAGGGGAACCCTTCCCCAAAAAGAACAAGGGAAAAAAGGGCGACACTCACCTGGGCCACTGGAATATTTGTGAGCAGTCTCCCCGAGAGCGACCTCGTTGGCATGTGCCGGGCGATTCCATCTACGCCCCTCTCAGTAGGGAATGCTGGATGGCCTTCCCCACCTGAAAGCTCCGAGAAAATCCGGAGGCCGGACCCTGACCTAGGTCCTCCAGTAGAGAGGTTAGCATAAGAGTAGCCGATTTTTTTGTCTGTAGTCTATTTTAGTTGGGGAGCCCTCCCCCAAAAAAGTTGGTAAAAGGCACCTAGCTGGAGGACCTCGTCACAGAAAGCGACATGGGCTTGGCATGCTTTGTAGAGAACTCCCCTGCCCCCAAATGAGGGCTCTCCCTTGAAACTAATCAAGAAGGGTACCCACAACAACAACCCAAATTGTGGGAACTGAACCACCGAAGTCAAAATAGGGGGAGTCTTGAAGAAAATAAAGCCAAGCTCTCCCTTCCCTCTATTCGAAATATGGTTGCAACTTTTAACTCGGAACCTTTGGTGGACGTCATTATGCTTCTCCTTTTGGTTTCCCTTTAAACCCAACCAAGACAGCTACCCACAAAACAGGCACACCCAACTCGGAATCTAAACTAAGTCCTCCAGTAGAGAGGTTCGAATAAGGGTAGCCTTTTCTCTGTAGTCTATTTTGTAGTGGAACCCTCCCAACCAAAAAAGTTGGTAAAAGGCAAAAGGGTGGGAGACCTAGCAAATAGGCAAGGTAAAACCAAGCAATTCCGCATAGCGTTTGATGTCCTGTCCCCCGAATCAAAATGGCGCTAGATGGACACAGAGACAGGAAAACCTGCGGATTGCCCCAGGATGTCTTCCCTGGGTATGGTCGTCAAACACTTTCTATTGCAGCCCCCTACAAATGGACAGAACCGGAAAACGAAAACGAAAAAAACAAGAACAGTGAAGATATCCATATGATTGTGGAAAAGGTTTACATCTCGTGGCATGCAAGTGGATTCGCATTCCATACCTGGGGAACCCAAGGCCAGAAAGTGGTAAGCTTCAAGCTGCTGGTAGCAAGCTGGGCTTAGACTGCCTACAACGCGTTGACAAACATCAACTAGGTCCTCCAGTAGAGAGGTTAGAATAAGGGTAGCCGATTTTTTTTGTCTGTAGTCGATTTTAGTAGGGGAACCCCCCAAACAAGGGGCGGAATGCCACTACAGGGGAACCTAGATCAATCATGGAAGCATGTGAAAACAAGGCCATGACTCTATCTGAATACTCGACCAACCTGATACTGTCAACTTGACCTCACCATGTTCGTCGCAAAACCCTGGAGTCGCTGATATTTGTGCATCGAATGCCAGTGGCTTCAAGAACAAAACCACGTCACATGCACCAAGCGGACGTCCATTGATCCACACATTGGCCAGAGGTTTTCTGGGAGGTGAGTGAAAAACCGGAACGAATCTGCAAGTTTGGCCATCTGCGGCTCTTCCCTCTGCGGCTATTCCCGAGGATGTCTTGGTGAACTTCCACGGGTGCCTCATGAACTTGGACCCTCTGAGAGATCTACAGGCCACTTGGGTCTTGGTCAAACCTTCAGCACCATTCGTACGTGCCGACATATATATATATATAAACACAAAACAAACAAAAACACATAACGGCAACTCGAGCTTCGTGGACTGGCTCCACCAATCAGGGATCGATCCGTCAGCAGGCACGGGCTTGGCGTCTGACCCGCAAAATTATGGCGCGCTTCTTCGCGTGCCGCTTCAGTTCTCAAAGCGCCACATGCATGCCGCCTCAGCCCAGAATTTCCGCCGGAAGGTCACCAAAATCCCGGTTACCCCCCAGTGAACATCCCAATCCCCACTAAAGTAGGTTCTAAAATGGGTGGTGAATTCACCTACCCCAAAATGGGATCCCGTTGGTTTTGATTTTGACAACCACAGCCATATGGGCAAAATAGGATCGAGGCAAGATGCCACCCTGCAACCAGATGGGATGCAAACAAACAAATGCACCCGTGTGCTTAGCGCCAACGAGTTGCCTATGTGGCTGAAAACATTGAAACTAGCCTCTTGGGCTTGAACGGCAAACCAAACAGACACCCATTTTGGGGGGAGTAACTATACCCCTTATGACGCACACTACAAATTGCAGTAGGATCCGACGCCCCAAAGCCTCGCATTCTTTGGGCTTGGTCCTTTCAGCTTGAAACCCTTTCCGCTCGATAAAAATGCCCTTCCCCGCCTTCCGCTCGGCGACCCCCATGGCTTTGTCGAAAGCCTTGGGAGGCAGAAGAAGCTGCGCGGGCTTCCCTTGCCGCCGTATTCTGGTGGGTGGGTGGCACGCGGGTCTTTGTGTGAAGTGGCTAACTTCAAACCGAGCCCATGCAAATCAACACATTCATATTGGTTTTCCCTTAAACCACAAGACAGGGCCACCCTCAAAAGGGACACATCCACATGTGTCTGTGTATCAAAAGTGATTTGGGGGAGACCCTCTTTCTGGACAGTTTCTCGTCTCAAGAGGAATTCGGCCAAAAGGGATGGATCTCAAAACGGGGGGAGAAAAAACAAAAACACAAATTGGCACTCGATGTTTGGCGGTTGCGCCTCCCCTGGAAATAAAATCAGCTGTTGTCTAGGTCTCGCTTGTTTAGTGGTTGCTTCTAAAGGGGCTCCCTCAAGACAAACACACCAAAGGGCACCTCTGAAAGAACCCGCCAGCCAGATGCGAGATCTGGCGGTTTCATACGGAAACTCCGATAAGGGGCACGAACACCCCATGGGCCAAAGGCCTGAAGTTTAAAAGCAGCGAAAAGGGGCACGGCTCCACTTCCATGTTGCGTCAATCTTCTTCAGCTTGAGAAGCCTCGCAACACGCCTTGCTGGGAAAGAAAAAACACTGAAAACAACTGGAGGGTGGAACCAAAGAAGGAGAGTCGTTGGGGGTGCTGGCGGTTGAAGTTTTTTGGGGCCCGCCCAATTCCCAGAAACAAACAACAAATGCGGGGGGGTGCCGGTGCTTGATTTTTTTGGGGCCTCATCCAGAGGCAAACGAAAACAAGAACAACACCGCAGGTCACTCGAGGTCCTCACCGGGCTTTCCCGGCCGCCCAGTTGGGGCGCCCTACCCAGTAGGCCTCGTTGGCCGCGCGGCGCGCCGCCAGCACTGTGGGAGGGATGCGGAACCTCGGGATGCGGATCGCTCGGGCCCCGTGGGCCACAGGTTCTACATAAACTGGGGATGGGACAAAACTAAACCAGGAATTGGACCGCAGGTATCGTCCATGTGCCCATTTTGCATAGGATTCCATTTGGGGTACCTATTTTTGACCCACACCCAACTCACTTCCTGAGTGGATTGGCATGTATGAGATTGGTTCACTTACTCAAATGCTCTTCCCAAAAAGTATGAAGCCCAGGGGATAGCAAACCCGACTCATTTGGGCTTGGCTCAAGAGGTTCCTTTGACTTTCAAAAGCACCCCAGGAGTACTGCCAAACATTGACGACCCCAATTTAACCTTCAATGGATAAACAAGTCCGAACTTTTGTTTTCATTTACTACTCACCTGGTCCAAACCAAAAAAGTCACTAAGCTCCAGGCACTAACCCCCCCCAATTTAATCTTTCATGGATCCCATAGCTCAAATCCCAACTTCACTGCTCACATGGTCCAAACCAGCACTCCGGGAGCGAGATAGTCCTGTTGTCGACACAGTCTTCCCACGGGCAAGACGTTCAGACCGTACTCTGGGCCCCGGCTCGCCGCACTCCCGGAAGAAGTCCTCAGCCGGGCGTCTTCCAGCGTGAAATGCGATCCACGAAGGGATTCCCCTCCCAGCTCCAAGCATAGGTGTCCTGTTAGCGGAAATAGATGGGTTTCCCTGGTAGATGAGAAAAAACACCAGGTAAACCAGGAATCGCCATCTACTTTTCGAGCAAAACAATCAAAAAGGACACCTATGGCTCCAACCACCATGTCCTTATTCAGCTTTCACTCTTGGTGGTTTAGTGGTTCCCATTTACCCTCCACAAGAGCCAGGTGCAAATCCAAACCACCACTCCAAGCCAGCAACGAAGGGTAACCTGACTTACAGGACTTCGCTCCGGAAAGGCAAACTTGGACACTTTGGCAGATTCGCAGGCTTGGACATGGGGACAACATAGGTCCTCTTTTTTTCTTTGTTTGTTCTGTAGTCTATTTTAGTAGGGGACCCCCCCCCCCAAAAAAAAAAGAAGGGTGAGAAAGGGCACTACTGGGGGACCCAGCGGAGCAAAACAAAGAGTCGTTGAACAATGCCAGTGGCGTGAACCTGGACATACCACCCAACAAAGGGGGACCTTCGGGCAAGTCCCAGGGAAATTTCATGACTTAAAATACTCTCTTCGCACCACTTGTTTATATACTAGGTCCTCCAGTAGAGAGGATAGAATAAGGGTCCTTTTTTTCATACAGACACACACACACATGATATATATATATATATATATGTACGGTGACCCCCTTCCACCCACCAAACAAAAAAGGCTGCAACAAACTGGACAACAAAAAAAAGCAAACAATGGACATATAGAAAAACAGACGAACCAGAAGCCAGGGTCCTCCACAAGAAGGGTCCCAAACCAGAAAATCAGAAAAACGGAAACACCTACAGCAAAAACAAGAAACAGAAACCAGGGCCTATGAGAAAGACGCTGGAAGTAGCTGCGGAGAACCCGGATTTTCCGGTTTGTCTGGGTAGATTGGTTGTTCTGTTTGTCCAGTCTGCTTGTTTTTTTCTGGGGGTTTGAGCAGAAGGCCATCCACTGAAAGCATTTGTCCTCCACCCGCTCTTCTACTAGGTCCTCCAGTAGAGAGGTTAGAATAAGGGTACCCTTTTTTCTGTAGTCTATTTTAGTAGGGGATCCCTCACAAATGGGTTAAAGGGCACTACTGGGGGACCTTGTCTAGTAATGTGCCTGCCACTTACAAGGAGTGAACAATCAAGAGAAATCCGAGCAAATGCAATTTCAGTTCTATTGGTCTACAAGACTTGAACTGCAAGGCTTTACGCTCAGTATGACTTTCAGTAGATTTCAATTGGAGTTGTCATTTTGAAGTAGATTTCAAATGAAAAAAAAATACAAGTAGGAGTAACACTAGACGTTATATCATTAGTGCAATCTTGTGAGGAAAGATGCGTTGGGTTGTTCTACTTTGCCTGCCCCGTGAAAGCAGTAGCCGGGAAAATCTCAAACTGCAATTTCAGCCGAGTGCTTTGCAAGTATCTAATTACAATGCTTCAAGTTTCAGAAGGATGCTCATCAGAGTTCAATTGGAATTCTTGTCTTGACTTAAATTTAGAATACTAGTAGGAATTCCTTTCCAGCAAAGCTTCAGTTAGACGTTAACTGAACTTCTCGTCGAATTAGCTTTTAGATAGGAACGTTTCTCCAAGTAGGGTATTCATTAAAATTCAATTGGGCATTGTAGTTTGAATGATATTTCACATAGGAACTCATTTCCAAGCAGGATGCTTATCAGAATTCAGATACAACTCAAATGGAGCCTAATGAGAAAAGACAAGTTGGTTGGTTCTTCTAATTAATCTAAATATATTATTATTTCAAAGTCTATTAATCATTCCGTTCAGGCCTTTCTTAATTGAACTGTTTGACCACTATGCCAAGGCCTCTCAATATGTGCTTCCCCCCCCCCTCGGACCCAGCTTGATGTATCTATGAGAGACATAATCTAGATATTTACTTTTATTGTGATTAACGTAAACCTGAACATCTGAACGAGACGATGGGGACGACTACAAAAACCACCACCTTCCGGTACCCAGCCCCCCCAAATCCGTTTCCGCAGACTGCGAGGGACCCGGACCGGATTTCCCTGTGCATTACCATGGGGAGAAAAGGGGGCCCATCTTAGAATATGAGACTTGGTTTAATAATGGTATTTTGGACAAATGATATATACATATATGCTAACACTTGATTTTTGAACAATATGATAAAAGTTAGTGTTTTCTTTTGTTGGCTAAATTCAAGGGTCCCGCCCCAACAAAGAGGAGGTTTGGGGTTGCACGCCTGTCCAAATGCAGTTGGAAAGTGGACCCTAAACTCCAATCAAAGGGGGGGATCCAAAAGGAGGGTCTTCACATATTAGGTGAACCATGGTTCAAGGAAGGGGTTGATGCAAAACGTGAAGGCAATTTTCAGTTTCCGACTTCGACCATCCTTGGAAGTAGTCAACTTTTTTCAAACGTTCATCAGCTCTCATCGGATTCGCTGGATGAGGGAACGACCTTGAACCTAAGGCACAGTCTTAGCAGTTGAGATTACCTCTAAGCGGGAAGGGACATGACCCCCTTCTTCATCTCGCCAATGCGATGTTGGAAGCAACGCATGGTTTAAGAAGCAAGCCGAAGTCCGAAGCTGGCCAAAGCAATACTGAGTCAATGCATAGTATGTGTCTTTTTGAGCGTACCTTGTTTTTGGTGGGTTTCAAGGGAAACCACAAGCAGCACTGCCATTCATGGGGTCCAGCCATAAAAAAACAAAACCATAAGCAACTTCTGCAGGTTGCACTCTGAACACATCCATACGGAAATCAAACCGATTGGCTTCCACTCACTCCACAAAGGTTGGTGAAATTGTCCAACGGGGCGCATCCTGCCCTACATTGGCCTCAACTGCGACCATTCAACGACACATTCAGTCATTCCACGTCTTTTTTTGTATTTCCCAAGATATGGCCATGGGTCATCCCAATCCCCACTAAAATAGACTAAAATTGGTGGCGCACCTACCCCAAAATGGTACCATTGGTTTTGACCCAGAGCCATAATCAACCCACGTTGAAGATACGCTTTCCCCACCATACAATGTCCCCCTCCTCCCCCTCGCCCCGCGGGGATTCAGGGTAATGAAAGCCCTCTCGGCCACGAGTGTGTGCATCAGATGGACCATATCAATTGCCCGGGTGCGCCGGATGTATCCAGTGGGTGAATAACCATAACTCGCCAATCGAACCAATCAGCGACAACAGCATGTATACGGGAAATCTACGTTTGTCCCCAAATAAGTGAACCCACAAAAGTGGCAACGGCTTCTTTTTGGCTTCTCTTCAAGCCACCAACCCAAAAAGGGCAATGTTGACCCCATATAAATCAACCCCAGTTGATTAATAGGGGGGTGTTCCCCTCCAAAAGTGATGATTCCCCACATTTCACCCAGGGACACCCCCCTACTAATAAACTGGGGTTGATGAAAATGGGGTCCACATTACTATAGGTCCTCCAGTAGAGAGGGTAGAATAAGTTGGTACCATATTTGTTTCTGTAGTCCATTCTAGCAAAAACCTCCCAACCAAAAAAGGTGGGCGAGAAGGGCACTGGGAGACCTAGACTACTTCCTGCGCCTTGGAAGGAAAAAACACACAAAGAAATGCCACGCCCATCGGCGCCCATCGACGCCCAACGGTACCAACTTTTTGCTGTAGTCTATTTTAGAAGGGGAACCCTCCCCCAAACTACTGGGGGACCTAGATTACTTCCCGTGCCCCGGGAAACCAACAAAAACCAACCAAGCCCCAGAAGGACAAAAAAAAACGCCCATGGACGATCGACGCCCATGGCCGTGAGGCTCCGGCGCCCCAGTCTTCGACCTCCTCCGCCTGCTCCACCTCCTCATCTTCCGCCATCTCCTCCTCCGCCTGCGGCAAAACAAAAAAACGCCGACCCTCCGTGCGCGCGGCGGCGGTTTTTCTCCCCTGGCAAGAAGTGAGAATTGATTTTTGTTTGACCTCAAGTGACTTGAGGAGTTGAGCCTTAAATCTGCTGGGGCTGAAGAAGTACTAACATGTCCATCCCATGACTCAATTTGGGTGTGTCTTGTTTTGGGTTGGACCCACCCAAATGGTGGTTTTCCTGTTGGCTTCCCTTTAAAACCACCAAAGACGGGTACCAACACACCAAAAAGAAGAGCCACCCATATGTTCAGTGGAGAAATCGATTCCCTTTAAATCCAGAGGAAACCACCACCCAAAACGATGGAAGCCACTGGGCCAATCGGGGCTCGGCATCGAGAAAAGAACCACTGGGGTTGGCCCGCACGAATCCGAGGCTCTGCAAAGCTACGCCCGCAGGGGTAGGGAAAATTGAGAAAAGCGAAGCCCCTGGGCCAACCAGTTGCCGTAAAACGAAGTTTACCACCGTAAATCTTTCCCTACGGAAGGTTTCCCTTTGCGAAAAGGAAGCACTGGGAAGAGTGGGGCTTCTGAACTCACGAGAATCGATTCTTGGTCAAGGTTCTTGGAGTCTTCATCTTTATTAGCATCATCATCTTAAGTGCAATAGGTGTAACTTGGCCCCAAGATTCCAGGTACACATAAAAAAGGATTTTGTCTTATTTGGGTTCATGTTTTGGGGCTACCCCCACATTTAGAAGAGATTCTTGGGATCGGAGATCACAAACCCCGGAAATGGACTAAACCCACTAAACCGCTTTGGTCAGCCTTAGAGGTTTCGCGATTCATTTGGACCCGCAACCTGGAGTCTCAACCCTTCTGACGTAATGACCGTCATTTGTTGCTGTAACGACCCGACTCTGCCAAAAGCGTGTCACTTTTCGCGGGTTCACCGGACATCTTGATTTCACACAACAAGTTCAAGTGGGAAAACGCGCTTCCCAATAGCAATCCAGTTCGTGCTGGAGGCTGGTAGGTATAAGACTATAAGAGAACGTCGATCCTATTACGCAAAACCACAATACTAACAAAGGATAGTGCACTAATAAAGGATAGTGAAGATGATACTGATAGAATAATAAGAAAAGGACAAATGATTACAATAGCTAAAGCCTTCATAGATCCGCACGACCGACGTGCTCCAGCTCCGTCTTCTTCGTCGGTTTTCCCGCCTCCGTCAGCGTGGGTTGCTCCTCCTCTGCCTGCGGGGGCGGTGGCACCTCCTCCGGAGGCGGCTCCCCTGGCGCGGGCGAGCCGAAGAGCGCTCACATCCCACCCGGCAACCAAACCCAAAAAGTCACTCAAGCCCAGGAACTCAGGCGCTGACACAGGGTGTCTTTCCAAGGCTTGAAGAGGTCGCTTGGAGGCGACGTACTTTCGTTTCCCAACGAGCTCAGGCTCTGCCTCTTGTGGACCATCGTTAATTTCAGAGCATGTATCCGCGTGAGTTTGTTTGTTCTTTGTTGTTATTTTTCTTTTCTGTTGGGGGGTTACCCTGTAGGTTCAAATGGCATCCAACAGGACGACCGCCATCGTGGGAGATTCCACGTTGGTATGTTCCGGTCTCCTGATTTGCAACCTGCTGTCCCTGAAACTGGTCGTGCATCTCCAAGTACTGGCTATCCAGTCTTACCGGAAAAGTCCGTCCGCGGCAGACAGGGGAAGTAACCAGGGGTTAACTTCCCCTGTTGGTAAGGGAATTACCGCAAAAGTCCAGGTTTTCGTTTTACCACGGGAAAATGAACCAGCGCCCCAATTCCATCGAGGATCATTGTGGAGCTTCTTTTGGTACACTTGGGCTAACTCAGGCAAGCCTCGCGTGACCTCACATTCATTTGCGCTTTGGCTGTAGTAGAGAAAACTGTTTAACTGGGCTCACACCAGAGGTAGCGTTTCACACATTTGCGTGTGGGTCCAAACAAATGATACCATTTTGGGGTAGGTACACCACCCAGTTTAGTCTATTGTAGTGGGGATTGGGATGTTCACTGGGGTATGGGATTTTGACCCATGGGCATGGTATCAACCGGTACGAACTTAAACCATGGAAACAACCCGACGTTCCAGGCGACACATGGCTTGAACATGGCTTGAACATGGACTCCCAACAGGCTTCGGAGCAACTGGGGAGCAAAGAGTCGAAGCCTCACGGGATTTTCTCAGGTACCAAATGACCCCTTACAAACCCATCCTGGGAAAAGGGAAACTCTGGGTATAGGAGAAACAATTACAGCCCTCAAATTACTTACAAGAATCTTCCCGGGAGCTCGATACTAGACTAAATAACATAAAGTTTGTACGTTGCCTAGTAAGACATGCGTGTCTTTCTTTAGGGGTACACTTTTGGGGGTGGTTCAAAGGGAATCTAAGTAAACCAGCCATTTTGTTGTTTCCCTATTTTTGAGACCGAACCACTTCATGCTTTTCCCCTTGGGTCTAACCCTGAGCAAGTCTATGGACAAATGCCTGAACCAGTTGGAAGGTGGTTTCTCCCAGTATTCACCCACAGGCGCGAAGCGGATTTGGTGCATCCACGCCTTCACTGGAACAAGTCTCACCGTAAGGGTCAACCCGGAAGCATCGCGAGCCTCCCCAGGACCCAAAACCTGATTCAGCCCTGTGCTGGTAGACAAGGAGCATACCAAAATAGCCGAAAGGTCCCGAAACCTTGTTCAGTTTAATTACTCAGTAGCCCCGGTAGAAAAACGGAACCTAGACCTCAACCTATACCTCAAACTACCCTTTAGCACCTAGACCCTCAACCTACCCTTTAACATGAGCCGCCCCCCCCCCAAAAAACATGGAGGTGAACTCCCGTTTCCAGGGGTTGAGAGTCCGTGAAAAACCACTTTTTTGGGTGCTGAGCTTCGTCTGGAAAAAATGGGAACCCGTTTTGGGGAAGTTTCCATTTTTAGTGGGGCAGCCACCAAAAAAAAGAGAGGAAAAAGAATTGGTGCCAATGAACAACTGAGTGACCGATTGTCGCTGAGAATTGGAGCGACCGATGGTCGGAATCGCCTCCAGGCGGCGGTCCCCCCGTGCCGTAAATCTTGCCCATCTGCTCCGCCAATTGCTCCGCACCCGCCTGCAAGCGAGCAAAAGGTGCTCCTTCAGCAACTTTTATGAAACCAGGGGACCCTTAAAGTAATTTTTTAGGTTTTGAATATGGCGCGTTTCCCCAAAATTATGCGAATTCCAAATGGGTAGGTTGAGGGTCCATGCACACTTGTCTCGAACACCAAGGAACAGTTAAAAGTCAAACTCATTACGAGATCGAATTTCATGACCAACCTTCACACAAATTTAAAGGCAAGTTTTGGAAACCGCTTTACCACCGAAAAGCCATTCCCAGCTAGATTCCAGCCGAAATGTCGCATCTTTGCAATCTAAGCCTGTCTCACAATTTCCAAGCCCTGAAGTCGGCTACAAGATCCAGAAAGTACCATCCCTTTGATGGCAAAAACAATTGTGCCCACAAAGTTTGCAGCTTTTGCAGGGTGGGAAGATATTCAGTTTGTTTTCAAGTTGAAGATTAAAGATCCAAGCCCGAAGCATTCAAGCTAAGCAAGAAAAGCAAGATTGAAGGGCAGGTATGAGGTTTGGAGGTATATGGAGGTATGGAAACCATACCACCAATATAAGCTTGTGATACAGTTTCACCCATGTAAGCGGTATATAACCTCCATACCCCCCAAAACCCAAACCTGAAAATAACCTTGACCCCTGGCTTGTTTTTGCAAAGCCCAGATTCCTTGCATCCAAACGCTTGTGAAGCACCGCAAGCTGCCGAGACACCCCTCCGAGTTTGACAACAAGTGCCATCCGGTTTTTCAACAAACGCAGAAAATTGGCTTCAAAAAAGGCCCCGTCGATGTCCGAGCGTCAGCAATTGCAACGGAACAACAAATCGAAGAGTTCCAACTGTGTTTGCTGACTACGTCCCCCAGTAGAGGTTAGAATCAGGGTGCCAACTTTTTTCTGTAGTCTATTTTAGGGGAACCGAATCTCCCAACCAAAAAAGGGGTGAAAGGGCACTTAGCTGGGGGACCTAGTTGAGCTTCTCGACTTCCTTGCCACAGTGGCTCCTCACTCCCTCTGCGGCTTGGATTTCGGCGGATGGGAGCAGGACATCCACCAAGCAGCGGATTGAGGCATGATTAGAGTTAGGCCCAGTTATAGAATGCAAATTTTACTGTTAGCTTCAATTTGAGTCACTGGCAAAATGTAAAATGTATCCTAAGTCTACCCCAGCAGAAAAGCAGAACATCCACCAAGGGCATTGAAGTTCAGCGTGGGTCAAAGGGTGGAAAACGGCTGACAGTCAAAGGCCTATGGCAAACCATGGGAGCTCTTCGAACTCGGATTCCAACGGTAGGAATCACTACGACTTCTGTCCATGGGCTTCTGGCAGTTCTTTCCACAAGGTCCTCCAGTAGAGAGGTTAGAAGAAGGGTACCAACTTTCTTCTGTAGTCTATTTTAGGGGAACCCTCCCAACCAAAAAAGAAACGGTGAGAAAGTTGGCACCAATTGCTGGACCTAGTCTAGTAATGTCCCCCGAGCCATGGAGGATGGCCATCGCTTCAGGCTTGGGCTCGGAGATCTCGGACGCTTTTCCCGAGCCTGGAATGAGACACGGGTCGGCTTGCGCGCCTCAGACAGGAAAGCGCCGGCGAGCTGAAATTCCTGTGCTCACCCAAGAGCAACTCGAGTCCAGAAAAGTGATCTTTCAACCACGCAAGGGAAACAATGTCAAATCCCAGAAGCAAAAACTCAAGTTCCCAGACGGGTCATGTTTAGACCAGGGGTTTTTGGCACCCTCGGCTCACAGAGTTTCCGGGTCGGGCCCATGTTGTCGGGTCTGCCTTGGGGAAATTACTCACCTGGCGAAACAGCGAACTACGGCTGAGAAGTCATGCTTCCGGGCATGGAGAAATGGAGTACTTGGTGCTAGATAGATTGATTGGTCTGGAAGAAATGCTTGAACCATATTAAACCTGCATTCTGCTTGGGTTTCCTTTGGGGCTATGTCGCACCGAGAGTAGCCATGAACCTGATTCAGAAACGCCGTAAAATCGGGGACCGTCGGAGTCTGGTGGGCATGCCAATCGCATGGACAAACACACTGGACGCCAAGGCTCTTACTCCCCAAGCAAACGTTTGAAGGGTTGAGAGGATTAGAAAAGCCAAGGCCCCAAAAAGCCCCAATACTGATGGGCAATACCCTTCACCAGGTAATCAGCTGGTTATCAACCATGACGTATAGAAGGTCTCGTCAATCCCAACTCCCGCATAATTGTGTCCTTCCAGAGTATGAGTCGGGATATCGACTCCAGTGCCTTATATCCAATACATTGGAGAAAACCGCCTCCGTGTTGGTTGCGCTTAAAGACTTATCTGGAGTGGTCATGACCCCTGGAAAAAGGGGGGACCCCTGAATTTTGGGGAATGAGCAACCCTTTTTGAAGGGTCGTGGAGACTCTAGGTAGCTTCAATTTTTCGGCCATGTCCATCCTAATCAGAATTATCTAGGGCTCGGAAAGGCCTCTCAAGCTTTTTCTACTTTCAAAATCCCTACCTGGATTCTCCATGACCTGACCCGTAAAAATCGGTTACCCCAAATAACGGGGTTGTGGACCCACGTGAGAAGGAGACAGGTCTTGGGCGGTGGCGGCTGCCGAGATGAAGGCGGTCTGGTCCTGGGATGTGGAATCCATGGCCATACTGTGGATGGACCAAATCCGTTCGCACCACTTCGGATGGATGGCTTGGGCAAATGATTCAAGGCCCTGCCCCCCGGCTCAGGCCTGAAAGGAATGTCTTCCTTGAAACCATGGGAAACCATTGTTTGTTGGTATTTGCGGGGGAATCGAATCATTCCAGGGATTCTGAAAGGTGGTGCGAAACAGATTTTTTGTCCATCCACCGTAGTTTTAGTGGACACCACCAGGAAATTGGGTTTAACAGGACCTGCGTTTCTAGGAATCGGACTCATTTCTCGTACTAGTAGATGTTTGCTGGAGCGTCAGAAATATGTGTTTTGTTCCAAAGATTACTCACTGTGTGGAATTCAAAGTATTCGCGGGCAATCCGGTGACTCACCATAGTGCTGTGCTTGTTTCGAGGTGAAAGGTCCCTTGGGCTTGGTTTGAAACATAGAAACAAAAAAACAGACTTGGGTTTTCCCATTTGACCCTTTAAAATTGAAGGATTTTCGCTTAGAGACTTGGGGATTCTTGGAGACAAAGAATCCCATATTTTCGCCTGAAAGCTCCGGGGTCTTTGCCCAAATATGCTTCGAGGTTTGAGAGCAGGGAGGCTTCCGGAGATTCGGTTCCAGGAACTTCCGGGGCTGTTGGGGATACCACTTGGGCACGCTTAGATCCCCCAAAATTGACAGAAACCATAAAGGATGGAGGGGTTCATTCCTTCATTTGCCTATCGAAGCGGAGTTCATCTTGTGGCAATCCCGCAGCATACCTCTCCAATCCGTGATGCCGCAAATTTGCCGTGGTCAAGTACGCTCAATCTCGGAGCCGTTGTTCATGTGCAAGTCATAGATGGCACAGGTAAACATCTGCATGGTTGATCTTGGCAACCACATCAGTGTCTAAAATCCCAAGTACTGCTTTGGGGTGCTCATGTGTTCAACTTGCACTTTTCAGAGGATCTCATGCATGTGCAGGCTCCCACACCCATATAAAGCCAACAAAAAGCTCCCCCCCCCCCCCGCTCAAAAAAACACAACTCCCTCTACAAGCACTATCTTGGTTTGTGAGTGAAGAGCACACCCGTGTCAGGAAAAAGCCTCTTCCTGTCAGGGGTACTTTCACCGTTGTTTTCACGAGGAACTGAGGCTGATTGAAATCCCCAAACCAGGCGCCAGGCCACTTCAAGGGTGGGTCTTTCTGGGTGAATTTCAACCCCATCTTCTGCATCTTCGGAGTTTCGACCCATGTTCACTGGGCATGCGCAGCCCCAGGCCCAATCCGCCCCAAAACCGCCTCGGAACCTGCCCCACCCCAAAACCTGCCCGCCTACCTCAACATTTAATGAAGTCAAACATGCAACATAATGTTCAATCAGTGAACCTTACTTCCGAAAACGCTCATACAACACACATGCAAAAGTCGCGAACCTAAACAACACATGGCAACATCAGGTCAGCTCCGCAATTCCAACCACCGCCTTCATTACAAAAGAAGAAGAAGAAGAAAAAACGCCGGGAGGCATAGAGACCGCCATCCGGCGCGTATTGGCCGTGGTGCTGCATGTCCTGCAAAACAGAAAATCCGTTCCTACACCCCCGCCAAAAAAAGGTGAGTTTCCTGTTGATTTCCCTTTAAACAGGGATCCTGGCATTATGCACCTGAACATTGCCTTGTAGATGGTGGTGTCCCTCTATTTTGGTGGGAAAAGCAACATGTTTCAAATGGAAAGGCGAAATGGAGACCTTTTAAGGAGCCCTGAAGCCACAAAGAAAGGGAACCCTCAGGAAGGATGAGAAACCCTGAAAAGAGCAAAGCCACGCATTGCCACTTAGAAGCGGCAATGGAGAGAGCAGACCAAGTGCGGTCTAAAAGTAATGTTGACCCCGGATTCATAAACCCCTGCATGGTTTAGGTGGTGGCCCTACTTCCCGCCCCCCCCCCCCCCCCCGTATTCATAGGACAGGCTTACTCATCCGGAGTCAACATTATTCCTCATGCGTGTTCAACCCCAACCAGTGAATGTTGATGAAGCTTTCCAGTGGAATGGGGTGGAATAATTACTGTCCACTCGCCAATCCAAAGAAGCAAATCCAGCGTTGCCATTTTAGGTCAACCAACTTCACCCTCTGCACAATTTGCTGTGAACAAACCTCATGACAAAGTGCTGGATGGTCTAGTGGTAGATTCAATATAAATGCTTCTTGCTTCCTCTAAGATTGAAGATACTCTAACGATGATCAGCCACAATTATACAATCTTCAGAATGTCCAGCCCTAAAGAGAAGCATGTTCAAAGCACACCAGGCGCATCAAGTACCGCAGCGTTCCACCACCATGGCTTGCAATTAGATTTCGATTCGATGTGTGCCTTTCCAAGCCACACCCGCATGGAGAATTGGGCGCTGGTTTTCAGGAAGACAAAAGGACCGCAACTGCCGCATGATTTCGCATGTAAAGAAATGGAAACCAAAGGAAACCTAAGTCTCGTGTTCTGATCTTGGAATAGCAACAGGAGCAATCCTTCTCAAGGAGCACCCAAATCTGTGCATGGTCCAATTGGCATGGCTGGACATATTTCGCGACATATGTTATGACAACTCTCAACGCGCAAACCCTCAAAAATCCCAACAAAACCCTTCCAAAACCCACCATCCAGCCAAGCCAACCGCAGCCAAATCAGAATCACTAACCCCAAACCCCAAATCCAACCCCAAAAGCTCCAAACGTCCCAACAAAACCCACTTCATGGCCAACCCCATCCCCCACCCGCCGCGGAAAAAAAAGCCGTAAGGGCATCCCGAAGCCAACCCCCCTCCCCCAACCCAAAAGACACATGGTTTTCCCAACCAACCCCCCAGCCCCCCCAACACCCCCACCCCCCTAACCGTCCCCCCCCCCACCCAACCACCCTCAACCGCCCCCCACCGCAACCGCAAACATCCCGCAACCCAACCCTGGGTTTCAGAACCCCTCCCCATCCCATCAAACCGCTCCCCCCCCCCCACCCACCCCCAGCCACCGCCGAAAAAAATCGCCGCCTGCGCCGCCTGCTCGTTGTAGTCCTCCTGCGCCTCACCGATCGCCTCGAAGGCCATCTCCCCCTGGCGCCGAGTGCTCGCTATCCCCGGCCGGATCGGGGGAGGTGTGGTGCCTCGGAAAAGCAGCGCCCGTGTGACGTGAAAGGCCCCGTTTTTGTGTTTTTGTTTTTTTGCAAAAAACAGGTGTTGGCCCCGTTTTTTTGCCAGAAGGGCTGCTCACCGTTGTGTTGTAGCCCCCAAAATGGGCTTTTGCCCCCAAACATATGGGGTGAAGCTCACCGTTTTGGTCAGCAAAGATCCTACCATACCGTTTTGACCGTCTTTCTATCACACATCACGTCCCCACCAGAGGCCGCTCTCCGTTTTTTCTTGTTTTATTTTTAGGGGTTCCTTTTTTTTTTGGGGGGGGGGGAGCTGCTTGTCAAGGGAAGCCACCCCCAAGAAAAGAAAACAAAGGGGCCCCTCGGGGGGGGGGAGGCCTCCAAGCCAAAATCGACTGAAGAGATGGTTTGGATATATTCCAGGTGTATTTGTTTCCCACCGTTTGCCGAAGCAGCCCGAACTTCAGTCTGTTGGTCGAAAAACGTTCTCCCCTGCAAGTGTCTTGTCAACTGTGGCTGGCAACATGGTCGGGGAAAGTTGCCATTTAGTCGGGGGAGTTGCCCTTTGGTCGGGGAAAGTCGCCGTTTAGCCAATCTGGATTTGTCTAAGAAGAGTGAAAAGTGACAAGTGCCTGTAGACACGAAAAAACAAAACTGTCGCTTGCATGCATGAACAATACACACTTCGGACGATCCAGGTATCAACTTTGTGTGTGTGGAGGCTACCCTTTTCAGTTTTATGATCTGTGCGGACATCTCCAGAAAGACTCCGCAATGGTCATTGGTTTTTGAGGCCAAAGGTACCTTTTCAGGTTGGTTCAAGGGGAAATCAAGAGGCCACCATTTGGGGGTCCTAAAACCTGGTTGTTGAGTCCAATCTGTATTCGGCATCCAATCAACACTAAACCAACAGATTCGAGCTCGGGTGGAACCAAACCCGGTCGTCTTCCATCAAGACAGCACCGCTTCTTTGTTGCTTCCAACCAACAAAATCAACATAAATATGTTCGACCAAAAAACAATCCCCCCCCACCGCGACCGGTGCAACGCAATCAAAACCCTTTTGAATTTTCCCTAGGAAATCACCAACACAAATCAGACCGATCGGGCCCCAGTTACGACGCGACCTAAAAAAATATGAGCAGTCCCCAAGAATCTTCTTGGTTGCTGCTTACCCCTCTGCAACAAGTCTTTAACTGTTTGTGGGTCCAATATGCAAAAACCCATGAAAACCCGGTTCCTGTCGCTAAACGAGTCCAAAATGATTCGTCCCCACAAATCGCCCTCAAAGTCACCTTACCTGAGATGCCCTCCCCCCCCCCCCCGTTCTCAGGCGCCAACGCCTCCCCTCCCCCCCGGCGTCAGCCTCGGCCATCTCCACCTCCTTCTCGGTGCCCTCCTCCAACTCATCTTCCTGTCGTTCTTTCTCTTTCTGCGGTCATCACCCAGAAAGCTTCAAGAAACGAACAACAAAAAACATGTGATGCTTCCTGTGGGTCGTTAAAAAAGAAAAAAACAAACAAAAAAACATGGGTTTCTTTAGGGGTTCCTATGGCTTCCCTCTCCGAGTTGTTTCTTATGGGTTCCTGTGGGCTCCTATGGCTTTTTACCATTCCTTGATACCCTCAGTTGTTCAGTGACCCCTGGAAAAACAGGGAACCCTTTTTGGGGCTTGGACCGTTTTTCGTGGGGCAGCCACTAAAAAAAGAGAGGAAACAGACAAACATAATTGGTGCCACTGAACAACTGAGACGAACTGGGTAAAGCAAACACACACCCCGCAAACACACCACACGCAACCGGGCTGGTATTACCCCTCATCTCACCGGCGTCCTGGCGGAAAAGTGGTTGCCTCCAGACGACAAGCGCAAAGCACTACATGCACTTCCAAACAGTTCCCCGTTAAAAAAAAAAAAAAAAAAAAAAAAAAAAACGTTATACCCATGGCGAAGCCCCACCCTGAAATAAGGTTGCAAAAGACCGTCCAATCGGTAGAACAACCGTGAATAGTAAAGCAGCGTGGCCCTTTGGGAGAAAATGCTTCCTTGCAAAGATTCAACTTTGAGAAAAAACATCCAGATTCACGCGTTTCCACAAATGTAACTTGTCTTGCTGTTCTTTTTCCTGGCTGGAGCCCAGGGATTTCTTTCTCGCAACCGCGCCTCGTCCATGCGATCCTTCATCGCCTGCAGTGCGTTCTCCGCGGCCGATGAGGCGAAGTCCTGCCGATTTGGAGGTCCATCCGACGAAGCGACCGGTGACTTTCCCACCCTTAGAGAGGGAGCACCGAAAGCGACCGGTGACTCAGTTGTTCAGTGACCCTGGAAAACAAAGGGAACCCTTTTTGGGGAAGACAATGTTTAGTGGGGCAGCCACTATTAAAAACAAAAAAAAAAACGGTGCCACTGAACAACTGAGCTTAGGGACCCAGATAGAACCGTCTTCGGAAATGGGCTCGTCTTGGCCGTCTCCCCATTTGCTTTGCTCTTGAGGCGTATGCCTCAAACACACGTCTCCCATATTAGGACATGAAACCCTTGCGAACAAGTGCACAACCACGGTTGTTGAGCTCCAGAGCGTCTCAGTTGGACCGCAACAAGGGTGCCGCAAAAAACAACAAGAAGGTGCTCCCCTCATCAGAAGCTCAGGAACCGTACGAACCACCACCCTTCAACGAATAGGTCCTTCTTCAGCTTTCTACTGGCACTATGCCTGGAGACCCACATGGCCATATTTGGTTGGGAGATACGGCCTGGGTTCAAACAACAAGTGGTCATACGGCTATTTACGTCTTGTTCAACATCTGGGATAAAATATGGGTGGTACAGCGATGCTGCTAGTTACTACTATGATATGGTGGCTGGCTCATCATGGTTTACGTAGTGGGGCCGTTGGGTGGCGGGAATCATGCCCTTGAGGGTTACATGTTATCCCGTTTCTCATCTTACAAAGTATCCCTCACTTCCTGACGGGCGAACATCCATCCAAACGAGGTCTCCCAACTAAACTGTGTTCAAACACTGTCAAGTGAAGAAGACGATAAGTAAGAACCAATTTCTAACCCTTGTAGGTCTGCCCCATCCATGCCATACCTCCTGGAATGAGAAAGGGAGGAAACTACCACATCAAAACACATGGATGCCCTGCTGCTTCAATCTCCAATCAAGGGAGTCAACAACCATGCCATGCGACATGGTTCTTGCCCAAGGGGAATATGCAATGGACCCTTTACATTCAATTGGTGTACCTACTTGGGACACTGGAGCTAGACAGCGTATATCATAAGTGTTACTTGACGTGCAGTCACTAGGCACACGAACACATGTAGCCAAGCTCACCTGTTTGTTGTGGTGTTTTATTGTTCAGATTTTGTGCTTGTTCGAAGCCAACTTTATGGGTGAACTAGTTATTTGGGTGATCTGATGGGTCTAACAAGTGGGTTTGTTTCTTGATTCTCATCCTTTTCACGGGTCAAAAGACCTCACAGGAATATAGTGGTGCAATCCTTGCGGTTCATCCCCCCAATGGCAAAGACCCAATTTGGATGACAATCTGTAAGTAAACAATGGTGGTTGTATCAACCCCATTGCTTTAATGGTGGCTACATGTTTGAAGCCCAGGGTAATGCTTAGCTGGTCAATTCACCCACCGACCTGAAAGGGGATAGGTCATGGGAAAACAAGAACTTCATCTTCCCAAGTTGCAGCTCGCAAACTTATTTCCGATCGATTTGCCCAGAACAAGGTGATTGGCCTCATTTGGGTATGCGTCGAAATTGGGGGGACCCCAAAATGGTGGCCTTCCTTTTGTCTTCCCTTTAAGCAACTCTGAGAAGGGTACCCTCAAAAACAAACATGTTGCAATCACCATCCACATTTTGCTGATTTCGGCTTAGCGATGCCATTCTTTTCAACCATCCAGACCTGTCCGGCTAGGTGGACTCGATATTTTTGCTTGCCCAGAGCACTTCGGTCATGAAGCTAGACCACAAGTGGCCATGGGTCAAAACCCAATTGTACCCCCAGTGAACATCCCAATCCCCACTAAAATAGGTTCTAGAATGGGTGGTACACCTACCAACCAAAATGGGATCCCATTGGTTTTGACAACCACAGCCAAGTGAGTCTGCTCCCAACCCACCCAGCGGATCCCAAGCATGTTCCTCTTGGCTTGAGGGTGGTTCCCTTGGTTGCCTACACCTAGGTCCTCCAGATTTGAGAGGTTAGAATAAGTCGGTATCCGATGTTTTGTTTTCTGTTTTTTTTTTTTTTTTTTTCCGGTTTTGTCTATTTTAGTAGGGGAACCGAATCTCCCCAAAAAAAAGGTAAAAGGGAATGGAAAACTAGTCAATGTTGATTCTGGTCCATACTTTCTCAACCTCAAAATAACGCATGAGTCACTGTAAACAACTGGTATCAGAGTGGTCGACCTGAGCCCTTGCAAAGAATTCCAGGGGCGGAGATAAACATCTATTTTGGTTGGGATTGTCCATTACTAACCTTCACCCCAGATTCCCAGTAGCCATTGGAAAACAATGCACCCTTTTTTGGCGGTTGTTGTTAAAGGGAACCCTCCTCAAAAAAGCAACAATGGAAAAAAGGAAGCAATTCTCACTGGATGTCTGGGTCACTTACCCGGGTTTTGATTCAGGCAAGCCGATTCCTCCCAGCTGAGTTGACTGGCCAAAAGTCCATTTGGGCCTTGACTGAAATGAGGAAACCTGCCAGCAAAAAGGTTATTCCAAGTTTGCAACCAAGCGTACCCGCTTTGGGCTTAAGGGACATTCCCCGAAAACCGAACAAAAACCGGGCGCAACAACAAAAACACGTCCCCCGAATTGCACTGACACCCAGTTTTGGAGCTCGACTCCTTGGCGCGGTTGCGGCAGTACTCCATCTTCAGCGACAACTCAGGCAGCACCTGAGATGTTTTGCGTGCAGACCGAGCCGGTCCTCTTTAGGATTTGGACCGCCCGAAATGCATTTCCATGGTTTTCCTTTGGTTGCCCTGAAGGAAGAAACAAAGGGGGTACTCTCAACAAAAAACACCCAGGATATGATGAGGGCCGTGCTTCATGGGTTGCACTATGTGTACTTGTTTAATAGTGGGCTGGACCATGACGGTTGATCCAACACTGAGGGTGTCCGTGCATACCCTGCTGCGAACGACTTGGAAAATGACCCCTGCCAAGACTTGCTGGTGCTCATACCATGTGGAAACCAGCGAACCAAGGGTACAGTTAGAGCTACTTTGTATTTCTGGGGGGCATGCGCACGCATATTTACGCTTGAGTGGTTGGTTACCTTGAGCAACCGAGCCGATGAATCCTCGAGTTCAAGGGCCCTCAACGTGGGTCCATAGTGTTTGACCTTTCGATCTCATCCGGGCTGTACTGAACGGTGAGAATAATTCCGATTTTCGGAAGGTTCCTCTGACTATTTCTGGTTTCGTCACATGAGCAAACCAAAGCGGGCCCTTTTCGCCAAAGCCGCGGCAGCTTCATCCGGACTCTGAGGGAAGCCTTAGAAGCCTTCCGTTAAAGCCGAAATAACACCAAGCTGGAGATCATTGGAGATAGGCAACACCTGTTATTGATGTTGATTCTTCAAGGGACCCCGGGTTTCGCCATGGAAGTGGGGGCACCCCGTTGGGAGGCTCTGCGCCCAAAGCCCAGATTTTGAGAGATCCTATCGGTGTCCTGCTGGCCGAGAAATTTCACATTTAGTCTACCCCAAAAAGTATACTGTAAAGTAGTCTTGGAGGAGACTCCAGATTTGGAGAAAGTCGATAAACATTTTATAAGATTTAGGTCAAGCCGACCGACCGAATCAGCCTCAAAAAACCTCCCGGGTCAATAAACGCGCAGCCAGTTCGGCGCGGCCGAGAAAAAATCCGCTACTGGTTTATGGGAGACATACGTGGGTATATGAAACCCCAACAGGTGGTGGAAGCTGGCAGGGAATTCACGCACTAGAACAAATTACCATGTGCCAAAATAGGGAGGCCAACAAATGGTGGTGTTCCTTTCGATTTCCTCTTTAAACCAAACTAAACTTTAAACAGTGCAGCCTTATTTTTGCTATCTGGAATACACAGAACACGGCTATATCAGATTCTATTTCGTTTTTAGTCTACCCTAAAATATAACATAATGTTGAAGGAGACTGCAGTTTAAGGTGGGGGATCTTCGTGCCCTATGTCCTTACAGAACTCCTGGTAGCTTAGCTCCCCAGCCCAATCACCAGGTACCTTCCACTGGGACCCATTTGTTTCAGAATGACCGTTTTTGTCGTCATGACTACCCTTTTTTCTGCAGTCAATTTTGGGGAACCCTCCCCAAAAAAAGGGGTTAAAAAGGGCACCTAGCTGGGGGACCTAGATAACTCCCCCCCCCCTCACCCCCATCGCTCGCGCACCGCCAGCTAGGTCGAGGCGCGTCGGCGAGCTGCTGCCGCCGCCGGACCCAGCCTTCGAAGAGTCGCCCCGCGTGCTCCACGGCTGCGGCGGCCTCCCCTTGGATTCGAAACGAAGCGCTCGAGAGAGATGCCACTTGCCACTGGCCTGGAATTTGAGACAAGCCCAACGTTGTTTTTCTCCGTGTTTTGGTGTCTGGAAAAACAGGCCGATCGTCTTGGGCCAACCTGGCCTTGAAAATGGGGATTTTGAGCCATGGGTTAGGGGCAATAAGCCATGTAACCAATTTCTAAGCGTAGTTTGAGGGTCCAGTGAATTGATTCTGGTCCCTATCCAGCGAATCTTAACATGCAACATGCTAAACGCGTTCCTGGTATGGAAAGTTACCATACACCATTTGGTTCAACCGGGCTTCTGTTGGTCACCAAATGCACTAAGTTGTTTTGGTCAGTGCCCTTTTTTGAGCGTAACCTTTTGTTCGGCGCTATTCGAGAACCGCCGCAATTTGCGGACGCTCCATGTGGGTGCGTCTTGTTTAGGGGAACACCAGAAAAAATGATGGTTGTCCTTCTGGTTTCCAAACCAACCACAAAAAGGGTACCATCAGCAAAAAGACACACCCATATCTCCCTCATGAGGCGGCGTCTCGGAATTTCGGAATTCCTGGGTCTCAATGATGCGAGCCCTTCGTCCTAACCGCTGATAACCGCAACACACAGCTTGCAGGGCCTGAGAACCCTTGTTGGAAATACCCAACAAAAACAAGACCCTTGGAGAGGCCGGCAGATATCCACTGCCATACAAAATAAGCCCAGGTGGCATCCTCAACAGCACCTCCTGGGAACCCTTGCGCGATCCCGGAAGCCCGAACTAGGAAACGCCGATCTGGGCAGAAACCCGCTGCGGGAAAAGGGTCATATGCCGAAAAATGGGGGCACTCCACCGGCGGGGGTTGTTTTTTTTCTGGCGCTTTGCCTTCAGACACGGTCCGACAAAAAGGAACCACCCACGTGTTTGCAGCATTTGAGGGGTTGATTCCTCATTCTTTTCAACCATTGTTCTTGTCAAAAACCAGGTTTTTCATGGTTTCCTGAAAAGATTCGAATAATGGAAATGGAAGGTACAACTGGAAGCAGCCATGGTTCGACAAGGAAGTGCACCTTGTAAGCCGACCATTGGACGGAACCAACGAAAAGAGCACCGGACAACTGAAGCCAGGGGTCACGGAGCTTCTGGAGCCCTGTGGATCAGGGCCGGACATTCCTCTCAAAACCATGTGCGTGTCTTTTTGGGCGGTTGTTTTGAGAGCTTTTGGCCGGTTTTTTGCCGGTTTTTCAGCTTGGGCGGTTGTTGTGAGAGCTTTTTGGTGGTTTTGGGCAGTCTTTTTGCCGGTTTTTTCCGCTGCGGCTTGTCAGCTCGGATGGCCAAAAAATGGTGCGTGTCAGGGCCCCCCGAGCTTCACGTGATTGGCTCAGGCCTAGTCGAAAAGCATCAGCCCAAAAGGCAACTCAATCTATCCAAGAAAATGTTTCTCACAGGTTTTTTTTCCCCATGTGGGCGTCGCTTTTCTTAGTCCCAACAAAATGGATTTTGTTCCCTTGATTTCCCAGCAAAATCCAAGAAACAGGTTCCAAGTCAAAAAACAACACCCATTTTGACAGACACTCTAGGGGTTGATTTCCCATTCTTTTCAACCATCGTTCTTTTCAAAACCAGCGGTTTCCCTTCTTGATGGTTTCATGAAAAGAAGGACCCCTGGAAAGAATGGAAATGGAAGGTAGCCCTAGAGACACGCCGTGGTTGGGTCCCCCCCCGTCCCTGGCCCCTGGTTTTTGCATTCCGCCCAGGCACTCAGGGACGGCGCCACCTGGTTCTCTGGGCGGATCCTCCGTTGCAGCATCCTCGGGGGAAATGTTCGTCCAAAGTGGTGGCGCCTCTGATTAGGGTTAGGCCCAGGTACAGAATGTATATTCGATTGGTTGCTTCAATTTGAGTCACTGGTAAAATGTAAAATGTATCCTAAGTCTAACCCTGCTTCTTTTGGCTATTTTGTTGGGGTTCGTTTCGTTTCAAGGGAAATTAAAGGGAAAATCGAAAAACCATTTTGGGGGATCGCCTAAAAGATACACCCAAAAGGAGATGCCACTCTCACAGCAATTGTCAACTGACCTTCTTTGGATAATTTTGGGGCCAGACTAGATGCCTGGCAGTCGAAGAGGACCCGTCTTCCCGGGTCTCTCTTTTGGAATGCATGCCAGGATCACACGTGTCTGCTTGAAGGAAGGTACCCTCTGAGTTGGGCGGCTGAAGTGTTCGCAGTGGACGATGGTTTCTCTGGGTGCTCACTGCAGAGAAGTAAAGAAAAGAGTGGCCAAGATTTGCAGTGTTTGCGGGCCAAAAGAAAACAATCCAAAATATACAAGAAACGCCCCCAGACAAAAGGTATCGGGACCATGCAAAACATGTCCCTCAGGCCTTGGTTTTGTGTTTTCTCAAGCTTGTTTGGCTTTTGGGCATTCCCTCTAGAAGTATGGAGTGATCGGACAAGTAGGCAAGTGTAGGACGACGGGTCAGCTTCAGCCAGCAGAAGCTCATACCACGTGCCCTGCTAACCAAAAAGAAAGGCAGAGACCCAGGAGGAAGAGGACCCGGGGGCAACAAACTTCTGCTGGCCGAATGACTATGCTTTCTTCTGGCTTCATTGCGATTTGTGTCTTGTTCCAACTTTTTTTCTGCATGTGTGTTGTTTGTTAGCTTTCCTTAGGACTTTCAAATTAGATCATTCTCATAAAAAAGCTTTTCTCACGGCCTCGGATGCTGCCCAGGAATTACCGCCACCTTCCTTGTACGCGTATTTAAATCTATATGTATATATATATATATATATATTCATGGGGGCTGGGGGGGAGAGGGGAGGGAGCCTTCTTTAGGACATATTTGGGCTCCCTCCCCCTCCCCTCTCCCCCTCAGCCCCCATGATAAAATCTATAGATCTATGCATTAACACCCACAACACAAAAAGGCAGGCGGCGCGGTGAAGCGCAAGAACAGGACATCCGCAGACACCCCAACGCAAGACACATACGCGACGGCTATACTTCCTAGGTCCTCCAGTAGAGAGGTTCGAAGGGCACTCTTTCTTTCTGTGGTCTAGTAGGGAAACCCTCACCAAAAAAAGTTTGTAAGAGTTGGCGCTACTGGGGGACCTAGCTTCTACCAAGGATGGACTCTTGCTCCAAAAGAGTCGTGAGCCCGCGACACGACTCTCTTTCTTGCAACCATGCCCCCCCCCCCCCAAAACAGCACCTGAGTCACAATCAAAACACGGTACAAGAATGGTCGACCTTCAAGAACTAAGAAGGCGGCCGCAGCTATTTATGGCTGGGATCTTCCTTTACTAACCTTCACTTACTCGAGTTTGATTTTTGCTCACCTCCCGTAAGACGGGGGTCCTTCCGCGATAAGCGTTACTATTTCCTACCCCAAAGCCACTCCGAACCACTGCGGAGCCTAGCTGGCCAAAACTTTACTGGGCTGCAATCAGGTCCCCTGCTAAAAGCTGAACTTTCAGCGGGTTGAATGAACGCTACCACTAAACCAACTAAAACAACTAATGTTCACCCGGGATTAAGCAGACCCCCTGGAGTTTGATCGGGGGGTGTCCAATTCCTGTTGGTTGGATTCAGGCCACTTTTGGAGGGGCTTCCACCCTAAGAATGGGACGGGTTCTACGAAACGATCCGGGGTCAACCTTAAAAAAGCTCAGGGACCGGAGCCACTCCGAACTCTGGAGCCTTGGGAGCCCAAATGCATAGCTTTCACCGGGCCGGCGGAAAACGGCAGGTCAAAACGTGGGTTGCTGTCTGCTAAGCCCTGCTAAAAAGCGGAAAACTTTCAGTGGTTTCATACGGAAAACTTTCCCATTCGTTGGCAAAAAGTTATTCTGTCCGAACATCCCTTGGCAAAATGCGACAAAGAAAACGTTGGTTGCCCTTTAGCCCCAAACAAGGCGACCAAGACGAAACGGATGCCCGTCTCAGCAGGCGAGTAGCACCAGGGAGGCATGCTGCTTGTCCTCTGGCAGCGCTGTCTTCATAGGGTCCCACTCGGGACACGGACAGCCTCAGCGATCCGAAAATCGTCCGAGGGAAACCTCTATACATGGGTGTTTGGGGAAACATGAGAATCATTCCAGTAGAAGAGAGATGAACCAGCAGGGGGAAAACAACTTAATATCTTCTTCAGCATATGGAAGGCGTTCAAAACGCCCTCGTCGAATCGAATCGGTCGTGAGGAGCTCCTACGAGCTGGAGGCGTACTGGTGTCACAGCAGCCTTCCCTCTGAGGGGTTTTGTAGTATGGGAATACACCCACTGGGTATTGCCAGCAGCCGCATGCATGTCCGGAGAAAACCGTTTTTGAACCTTGCTGAGTCAGTTCCCAACAGGGCTGTGGGAAATGACCACTTCTGTGATACAACACAAGGGCTTCCCAAAGACTAACCCCCCATATAAAGGGGGGAGATTCCCTTGTATCACAGAAGTGGGGATAAACCCCTTGATCCCACAACCCTGGTTCCCAAGGGTGTAATCCCAGGGTGGAATGCAAGAACCCACAGATTCCCACACTGAGTTCTGCGTTGGAGACAAAGCCATGGCTCCAAAAGGACATGTTACAACTTACGAACTTGGCAATGAACACCCAAGTACTTGGGGGAGATAATTCTATCCCCAGTTGTTCCCCGGCTCATTGATTCCATGTACTGGTTTCATGTGGGCCCCTAGTGACCTGGCCAAACAAAGGCTTAAACAAAAGATTTGAAAGCCTCCAAGTCGATATTAGCCTCCCACCAACTAACTAGGAACCTGACGTTGGGGGAATCGGTCCTGGCTTACCGATTCCCCAAACGTCAGGTTCCGGCTGTTAATTGGCGGGAAGGTCAGAATTTGGGTCTGTCGTGTCTTGAGGGTTCCCACGATTTATGGAGTCCCCCAACAAAACAGAGAAAGAGAGAAAGAGAGAGAGGGAGACACACCTGAGAGGGAGACACACCCGTTTTTCTAGCACCATGGACTCAGTTGTTCAATGACCCATGGAAAAAAAGGGAACCCTGTTTGGGGAAGACCATTTTTAGTGGGGCAGCCACCAAAAAAAGGGAAACATAATTGGTGCCACTGAACAACTGAGTGGAAGGGGTCCAACGGGAAGGTCGCCTCGCCGGGCCGCGTGGGTCTCTTGGACCCTCGTACATCTCCGGCTCCTCGCCCGGGGGCTCTCCCGCGGGCTCGGGCCAAAGCGCCTGCTGCCTCTCCTCTGATCGCGGAGAGAACACGACGAACCAAGGGGCTGTCCGTTTTCAGATCTGAAGGAAGGAACCTTAAGAAAACCAAGAGAATTGCTGGTTACCTACTAGGTCCTCCAGTAGAGAGGTGAGAATAAGTTGGTACCCGATTTGTTCCTTTTTTGTCTATTTTAGTAGGGGAACCCTCCCCCAAAAAAAAGTTGCAGAGAAGGGCACTACTGGGGGACCTAGCTGGGCTGTCCGTTCTCAGATCTGCTAAAAGTGACGAAGCTTTTAGTGGCTTAAACGGAGATCCAGGCCACCAAACCAACTAAAAAAGGAAAAAACCCAAGGGGATGGCACTGGGAACTGAGTTGCAAATGGTTGAATTGCGCTCCCTGGCACACCCCCCCATCTCCAAATGAACCCTAGACTACCACCTCATGGTCCTCGCATGTGCGAAATAGCCCTAGATCTTCCAAAGTGGCTATCGACATGAGCAATCAAAACCTGGTCTACCAAACCCGCTTCTTGTACGACTGGGTTTGATTGTGGCTCAAGTGACCACTTCACTTTCAGAGACTCCCCTTGCGAAAAACAGCCACGAAATCCTCTGGTTGCTTTTCTTGAGGTTTGCCTCACTCGTCCGCGGTGATCCCAAGAAACTCCGAAAGGGAACCTTGGCCCAAAATAAAAGAGAGCACAGTTGCAAGGATCGTAAATCAAAGATGTGAGCCTTGGGCCTCAACTGAAAATCCATCCAGAGGAAACCAAAGGGAAACCAACAGGAACCAAAGATCCAAGCATCGAAAGGTCATTGCACCTGTGAAGTTTGAGCTGTCAGCTGATCCATGCGCATCCGCCCTTCGCTTTTCATACTCCTTGAGGTGACTAAGACTCCTCTAAATCATGGCAACACCAAATTCATCAAAAAGCCTGAAGCAACTAGAGTTTGTGTTTTTGAATATCTCTCAATCACAGAATGGACCCAATGACTAAGACAAAAAGAAGGAAATCCATTCATAAATTTAACTGGACCCAATACTCTGACTTCCTGCTGGGCCCTCCAAAAACTGAACGATTGAGACGGAGTGCGGGTTGACATGTGAACTTGGTCACGCGGCACCAAGATCGGACTCACATGCTGAATTAGGGTCGGAAAATATTAGAATGTGTGTGGGGATGATGCGATTCGAGTTTTCAACTTGGGTGTTCGTTGCCAAGTTGGTAAGTTGTTTGTAACCCAAATTATAAGCCACCCACAAGTCCCTCGTTCAGTGGGAATTAATCCTGTTATTGGGCTGGCTATCAAATTTGGCCGAACATCCAATTCGTGTTCTTTCAGGAAAGCACCCTGCGCACAGCTCTCACTCCTCCATCACATGATCAATCTCATCCACCTCGCCCTGCTCCACTCCGATGGGTACGTCATAGCCAGCGCCCTCCTGCCAGAAGCGCGTCGCGTGCGTGCGTGGGCGTGCAAGCGGGCGAGGGGGCGGGTGTGTGTGATTCCGTGTGAGTGGGTGAGTGAATGGGTGTGGCCGTGAGCATAAACGTTAGTGCGACATTAACATTATTTCCACTTTTGGGGTGTTCTCCATGAAACATTATGGCCGCATGTCTATATACGCGCGCGCATGTGCAGCTGCTTGCAAATCACAAGCCGAATTATGTGTGACAAAATCTGGTTGATCCAGTAAATGTCCACACCTACGACTCTTTGTGAAAACCAGGCCAACAGGGCAGAGATGATGTCAATATATGTTAATGAAACACCCACCGACAACGCGAGTAACAACCGGGCCACTTACTTCTTTGTTTGGTGGACCTTCAATGCTGCGTCCTCGTTGACTATGGTCTTCGCCTCTTCTTCGACCTCCTGCTGGTCAGTCTCCTGAAAGCAGGTTCCTAAGATCTGTGGTCAGTGGAGAAAAGACAGATTGAGTCATAGTCAAAACCCGGTATAAAAATGGTCGACCCAGAACCATGCTTCAAGAATTAAGAAGGAGGATCTCCGCGGCTATTCTCTTGGCTGGGATTGTCCCGACCCTTCACTTACCCAAATCGGCTTTGATTGTGACTCGGACCTTTTGTTGATGTTGAAGGAAAACCCCCAGGACCGCAAGAAAAAGACACGTACACCCATTTGCTCCTTAGGCGGTTCTGAGTAGAGAAGACCAACTAATCAATCAAACAAACCAGCAAATCAACAAACAAAAAAGTCCTTGCCTAAGAACGTTGCAAGGGATTTTGGAATGAACCTCGGCATCCCCTTAAAAGGAAAGGAACAGTTGGATGGTTCGCTTTGGCATTGCCACCGGATGTCGGTCAGCTTTCGGAGGCCCTACCGTTAAAAGTGGGAAATAATCCGATAAGATCGAGTGGTCAGCTAGCCTATTTTTCATACATAGGATCGTCACTCCCACAAACTCAAATGCTCCAACATGGCGTCATCCACACACACACACACCCAGGAAGCCAAATCAGGGGTTGCCAACCACCCATGTTTTTGGACTCCCTGAGTACCAAGGATGAGCTCCCAAGTTCCAACGAGGTCGCCAGTTGAACACCATCACCAAAAATAACCTTGGCCCCTGAGTTTCTACTTCTTTCTGCCCAGAGGACCTGGGCAAAAGAAGAAGAATCACCTTTTGGGAGCTTCACAAGGAGTCCTCCAAAACGGAACTTCCGGTTGTCCGCCTAAAAAAAAAAACTAGTTATACCTCTCAAAAGTGCCTAGTTATACCTAGGTCCGCTGAAAAATACCTATGGTGTCCCTTTAAAAATGAAGAAGCCCGGTGGCATCCCCAGCTCCGGACCCCTGGAGCCCAATCTCCGTTTGCAACCCAACCCCGAAGGAGCCTATCTGGGCAGAGGCTTTCAGCTGCTGGGGGGAAAAACACTTCGTTCTACCTCAGATGCTCACCTTTTCTGGGCCCTCAGATCCCCCGCTAACAGTTTAACTTGTAGTGGGCTAAATGGAAACTACCACATAACATTTAAAGACTAAAAGGCTAAAAAGCTAAGGAACCGGATGGCTGGGAGCCACCAAGCTTAAAGACCAAAAGTGGATGGGAAAGGCGAAACCTTGAGGCTGTTGACCTCAGCACCTCGCTAGGTGGCACCTGGAAAGCAACCACTGCGCCTTTCCAAAGTATGGGGTGCTTGATTGATATCCCCGTAAAAAGGCCCCAGTTTTGACCATGGGCAAACCTTTCCAATGTGAAAGTCGTCTTTTGTGGTGGGTTCCCGAGTGTTCCCTAATGGTCACCCTATGTAAAGCACGTTTTGATCAACCCTTACATGCTGACGGTTTCACGATTCGCGGGGCTGATCAGACTGGGTCCAAAGTGGCATTCGCAAACTCATCCTCTCTACTCTTGGTATGGTAGCAAAAACTTTGTTTTTTACAGACCCCCAGTAAAAATGAACAGAAAAAAAAAAAAGAAAAAAAAAACGAAAAAAAAAAGAGCCAAGAACAGTGAAGTCATCCTCTTGGTGGGTAACGGGTTTTCAACACCCCAACCAACCATTTGAGACTCGAAACGCCACACTTCACGCTTGGGACGGTCAGACCCGACGCAAAAAATAAAATCTTGACAGTCCTGGTCAACTTGGTCCGCCTCCTGCGCGTCCTTGCCAACGTTGAACAGAAACGCCGTGGCCTGGGGAAAACGTCAAAAGCGGCTGAGCCGGACATTGGGAGCCATGTTTCTCAACAATTGCAAGAGAAGTTGCTGGATGGTCTATGATCGTCCTGACGTCGCAACACGTAAGTTACTACACGGTACTGGCTCCAAAGGTGTTTGCCCCCCTGTAGGAAATATTGGAGACCCCTGGCGTTCTAGCCCGTGCGGATGGCAACTTGTGACAGCCAAACCCAGCTTTTCCAAACAGCACATTGACAATCGGGCAGTCGTAACAATGGGCCGACCCTGTTGCCGAAGATTGTTTGAGGGCATAGAGGTCGGAGAAACTCGAGCTCTGGAACGATGCTGGACGAAGCAACCGGAAAAACCAGGGAATTGAGAGACGCACAACATTTCAAAAGCAGCCCTTGTTGCTGTTCAGACGTAAGTCCCTTTACCATCACCAAACCAAGCGGCCAGTCAAAGTGACATCCTCAAAATTACCCTCTACAGTGGTTTCCCTTTGAAACCACCCCCCCAAGACAGTGATTTTGAGAACCCCTCCAAATGCAACCACTGCAAGAAGAGTGTATCATAACCAAACCAAGGCGGCCATCAAGAAGCCCGATCTTGCCTGGCGCCGCGAGTGCCGCACACTCAGCTCTGGCTGGAGCGGCGCATCTGTGCGATGAATCGGGGGTCTCAACATGGCTGGGGACGTCCTTGTTCTAAAAAGGGGACCCTCCAAAATGGAATTTTATCCAAAGGGAACATCATTAAGGGTGCAACTTGTTTTGCGTCTTTAAAAAGTACCTGAGAAGGGCACCCAGCAAACGGCTAACTTCCTCTCGGCTTCCGTTAACATCGGTAGCCTCGAAACAAGACACGTGTCTCAACTTCCCAGTTGCAGCCACTTGGATGTTCGCTGCCAAGTCAAGTGCTTAGCCTAAAGAGGTTATTCCACATGAGTGGGTTACAACCTAGGTTACCCAAACCAAAAAACGAATGTTTATTCCACTGAGCGGACTTATGAGTAGGTTGCAACCGAACGGTTCCCGTTGCAACTTACGAACTTTTCAACGAACACTCAAGCAGTGACTTGGCCCAAGTGGTATCCGCAGCCGTCCCGTCCGGAACCCGTCCGGAACCCGAAAACGGTTCAACGCCGCTCCGGACCACTCCGGAGCTGGGCACAAACCCCGTAGCTTCCAGCTGTTGGGGCAACAACAACCTCCCCGAGTGTCCATTTGCTGAAGGAAAACTGAACAACTATATATCCATAGTAATCCATAATGATAGCCGTTCAAAGCCAAAGGAAGACTAAAAACCAGTGGCCCCCAGATCCATGGCCGCTTGAATCGGTGCTCCATCAGCCTCCCATCCCACGGATTTTCGGAGCCTTCGGTCTGCAGCAGGCCCACAGATCTCCGCAAGGAGCTCAAAGACTGGCGCGGGGCTTCTCTTTGGCCCCAATAGTGGCAAAGGTCTTTTGAGTAACGGTGGGGTCCCTTCTTGGAAGGAATGTCGACGTTTGGAGTTCCCTGTTCTGAACAACTGTTAGTCTCAGTGTCACCAAAGCCTACCAAGTGGCATATTTGCCTCAGTTGATCCATATTTCGTCAAGGTCCCAAAGGTCATGTTCTTTTCTTTCCGGGCCCTTCTGGCAAGTGGGTAGAGGAAACTTTGCAACAAACCCGAATTGCGATTTGGGCGACATGCCCCCCAACCCGAAGGATTGTACACGGGGCCCACGGTTTAAATCCCGGGCTGCCAGGGGAATCCAAAGACCTTTGCAATCCGTTTGCGATCCTTTTTCTGGTACGAATTCCTGCTCATCTGCGATCTTTCCAACCACCGCTAAACGAAGGCAACAAATAAAAGCTTGAAAAATTGAACAGTTCGCTTTTGGACAAGTGTGGCTCAGTTGCAACCACTGACTCTGCTGGAAAAAGGGAGCCACCCCCGTTTCGAAATCTGCTTCGAGGGTCAAGGAAGTCCGCCAAGTGTTGTTCAAGGGAAAGTCACCATGTGGTATCACCAATAGCCTCGGAACCCCCTGAAACCCTCCGGAACCGTCTCTGACCCCAAACCACCCCAGAGCTTCAGCTGTTGGATGCCACTGAACCATGTCACAAGGCACACCCTGGTCTTTGCTTGCCTGAGCAGTCCTTTCGCAAACAAGGAACCTGCGCATATATGTTAGCCCGCAGCACATATCCGCGCGCTAAAGAATTCACCGACCTGAGAAGTGGCCCCCACGTTTCAGCAACCCCGGATGAGCCCGAATAGGCCATTCGACGTCAGGGAGGCGCAATCCACTACAGCTGAATCGTGCTGGCAGTTCTATTTTTGGGATCCAGAACGTTAGCTGATTTGGATTCTTTAGAACTGCACAAATGTAGTCGTCCAGAAAGTCACACACTCTTGTCACGCACCTCTGAAGGTATAAGTTCAATGTCTACCACATTACCACATTACCCGTATGAATAGCCCTATATAGGTGGTATATGACGAGCAAACGGGTATGGATTCCAACTGGGGATACAAGCCGACGATATACAGCGTCTTGAGACAACCGAACCGATCTCGCTCTCAAACCAACTTCCACGGCTCCCTGGAAAATGCCGACTGAGTGGGGCTCCCCCCCCCATTCCCCGAGCCTTAAACAAAAACAAACATTTCCAGAAGCAATCAATTCCCTTCAAAACCAACAGGAATAATATGACACTTCAAATGCAAGTCGTGCAACATGCTTGTTTAATGATCATCCTCTGAACCTCGATGGTGCGCTCTTTTGCCTGTTTTTTTTCTCCTAAGGTGCTGACTCGGTGCGGATGCAGCCAGACTGTTTGCAAGTTTGTGCGAGCCGCAAGTGGCAACGCAAATGTTCAACAAGCCGCCCAAAGCACCGTGAACTACGGTTCAAAGCTTTTGGAGGTGACCAGGGCAAACTAAAAGGCCGGAAGTTTGCCTTTCCCAGCGCTTCCAGTTACCACTGTGCCACTGCATTAGGCAAAGGTTGGCCTCAAGGACTACATGATGATTTCCCCTGGATACCTACTTCCATTTGCTTAAGCCCCCTGGATCAAATAGAAATATGTCCAGTAGTCATGGATTCCCGTTAAATCCAACAGGGGAAAATAACAAAGAATATATATATATATATTAATTTGAGCAAATGGAAGCCCATAGTGGCTTGCCTAAGCCGGTTGAGCCTTCGAGGGGAAGTATCCCATCCGCAGGCGGTCGCCGTAGCCTCGGTGGCTTGTCTTCGCCGGTATCAAGCTGGGCTCTTCAAAATGGAGGCCCCCCAATATGGTGAATCCATGGAGTCTGTTTTGCAGCCACCAAAATCGCCTAGGGCGCATGTCACTCCCCTGAAACCAACCCTTTGAGTTTCTTTTGCTGTTTGAGGTGGACCAGTCCACAAATCGAGGAACCCAATGGCTTCTACCCCACTACAAAGCAGACCGGTTCCTTGCGTAACCCAAGGTAAGGCTATTGCGGACCTTTGTACAAACCAGTGCAGAAAACACATGTTGATGATCAAACAAAACGGTGGTCTCTGCACTCATCACCTGTAGTCATGCGTTTTCTTTTGGGCTTACGGGCATTCCCCTGGATTCCTGCTATACCGGGAAACGGGATCACTGGGTTGGTAGCTTGATACGAGAATCAAATCACCAAACCACTGAGTACGGGCCACCTCGTGTTGCGTTGTGGCTGTGAGAGTGTGCTCAAGAGGAGCCACAAACCACAACCTTGCTCAACACTTTGAAGAAGGTGGGTGGGACCAACGGCTAAACAAAGCTTGCATCAAACAAAAACAACAACATAAACGGCGGGTGGGGGTTCACGCTGCAAAGCTGAGGATGCTATCAAGGCAATCAGATAATCGCCAAGCCAAGCCAAGCCTGGTCAAGGAGTATTGAGGCCAACCACGACCGGGCGGGTATGATGTAGTCTTGTTGAAACAATTCTGGCAACCAACCAATCAATCAATTTGCTCCAGAGTTGTTAAAAACATCCCAAGCTCTCTCTTGAATGTTTTTGTTCTTCTGGCCTCTTTCTCGCACTGTGTTTTGGGGGGAGGGGTGGTACCCCAAGCAGCCCACGGGTGACCCCAAGCTCTTTCGTCCAAGCCGCGCCAAGAGTGGGACCGCCGCCGTCTGCGCGGCGAGTGGGACCGCAGCTGGCGCTCGCCTCGCGGGAGGAAACCCTTTAATTTGCTCGTCTCTTTTTGTTTGAGGGCCCTTCGCTTTTTTTGTGGTTTTCGAAGGAAACCAAGAGGGAAACCGGCCATTTCGGGGGTCCAAATCCTGAAAAAGAAAAGGCCTTTGTAGCACCAACAGATTCTCGGGCTGGTTCTCTCCCCCAAAAAAGATCCATGAGTATGGAGGGCTTTTTCTGGTTCTCAAAGGCTCCGTTTTTTTGTGGGGGAAAATGGCTCCCATTGCCAAAACCCCAACCTTTCAAGGGTTGTCCTATTCTCGGTTGCTTTCTGCTCCCCTGCAGTTTTACTTTTAGTGGTTGAATGGAAAACCCATTAGTTGGCAAAACAGGTTAACGTCCTGAAATCCAAGCAAAATGCACCAAAGTAAATTATTTATAAGGCCGTGAATAGATAGAATGGGGTTGTGGGATACTTTAATATGAAGTCATGATCATAGGATAATGTGTGTAACCTTTTTGCCCCCTGCGCGCTTATGGTTGACACTACCCCCTTTACTCACCTTCCTCTACTCGGGTTTTGGTGGCTCAAGAAGCCGATTTCCAACGGAAGGGAGGGTTCTTCGAGTGCCATCCCTCGTGATGGAGACCCTTGTCCAGCTCTACACTTGCTGGGATTCGAACCACCATTAGCATAACCACCATTGGTTGCCTCAGGAGGAACCAATCATCTAAGTTTGGGGTCCTTGCCATTCTTCAAATGGGGTTGAACTCTGCCCCCTGAGAAAAAAACAAACATCTTTGCGGTAGCAATCGAATCCCATTGAAACCGACGAGCGTCAACGGGTTCATGACATCCCGCCAATTTGCAACCAACTGATGTGCCATGAAGATTCACAAAGAATTTAATGTGATAATTGTGAGGGTACCCTTTTGAGGTTGGAAAGAAAGGGAAACCACAAGGAACAAAACACATTGTGGGGGCCCTCTTTTTTAACACATACCCATGTCACGCCCACTTGTTCCGGACATTCATATTTGGGAGCCTTGACCTCAAAATGAAGTTACTTTGATTTATTTCTTCCGGAACTCTTGCTCAACCACTTCGAGTAACCCACTTTAACTCTCTGTTTGACTCGGCTGCCTCTGAGGACCCAGAAATAGAAAATAGAACCTTTACCCTTTGGCGCCATGCATGACTAACATGTACCAAAACTAGGTCTTCCAGTAGAGAGGTTAGAATAAGGATACCCTTTTTCCTGTAGTCTATATTAGAGGAACCCTCCCCCCAAAATTGGGTAATAAGAACACCAAAAGGTCAGATCGATTCGCTTTGGGCTTTGGTGAGTCAAGACCCCTCAAACCAAATCACAAGGAGCCCGAGGGGGACTCACACCGAAGCAGATTTCGAAACCGGGGTGGCTCCATTTTACAAGCAGGATCACTGGTTGCAACTGAGCCATACATGTCCAAAAGCGCACTGTTCAATCTTTTGAACTCTTGTCTGTTGCCTTCGTTTAGGGGGTGGCACCGAAGTCAAAGTTTAAACCTTGCAAACCCTGGCTGGCTGATGTTTGATTGAGCAAGAACTGGCAATCTGCCACAAAATGGATCAATCAAACGGGGGTCTTAAGGGGGTTAAGGGGCGCGACAGGCCTGAGGCGCCTGACTACGAGAGACTTTTCCCATGGTGCTGGTGGCAAGTGGCTCCACGTCCGCCCGACACCTAAATTTCTTGGCCCATGGAATCCGGGCGTTGGGGGCCATCTGTCCAAAAGATATGGTGGATGCCTTACATATTGCAAGTAGAACAGGGATCCTTACATTATACACCTGGACATTGCAACTTGTACATGGTGGTTCCCCTTCATTTTGGCGGAAAAAGCCACATGTTTCAAATGGTTGCAAAGCGCATCTTTTGAAGAGCCCTGTTGAAGCCACAAAGAAACGGAGTCCTCCAGAAAGATGAGTAACCCCGAGAAAAGCCACGCATTGCCACGAGGAAGCCCGGAGGGGGCCTAGAAAAGCAAGGGGCATAGAGGAACAACTTCAGGGTCATCGAAAAGCAAACCGCCTTCACCGCCAAGTGGCGGTGGAGCAGCTTCTTCAGGTGCCGTCGCTTGGAGCCGCTCGAGTGCCGACCTGGGAGGGGGGGCTAAAAAAAACACTGTGGACCTGGCAGATCAATGTCTTCGTTCTAAAAAAACGGTTTGGATGTGGCTTTTGTGGTTCCACCCCTGTAGAAGGTTAAAGAGTACTAAAAGAGTACTAAAAAAGGACCAACAGGGGGAAGAACAGGTGAAATCCACAAAAGGCGCATCCAAAACGGTTTCTAGATTCTTAGTTGTTCAATGACCCTGGAAAAAAGGGAACCCTTTTTGGCGCTTGGACCATTTTTAGCAGGGCAGCCACTAAAAGAAGGGAACAAGAATTGGTGCCGCTGAACAACTGAGCCTTAAAATGGGGGAACTCCAATGGCAGTTTCCTTTCTTGCTCCTTTCACAACCACCGCTTTTGGGGGCACCCTCAAAAGCAAGGGCGCCCACACCCACATGGTGGTATCCTTTGTGATGCCAGGTTATCACAAGGATTCCCATGGCACGGAAACTGGCACGTCCTGCGAACATGTAAGTGCTTGCTCCAGCAAGGCTACACCACACAAAGCTATCCTATGTACATACCATATCCACACAAGCAAACTATTTGGCAATTGAGTCATGGTATATGTTCCGATGTCAGCATCACAAACAATATGCAGGAAGAGCGGCTGAGACAAAGAACGTTGGAAATGACCGAATCATTAAAAACAAAAGCCTTGGTGATGGCTGAGCTTGCTTTGCCCGTACCACCTGACAATCCGGATGCGGCCAAAGCACAAGTAAGCAGCAATGAAAACCAGGTATCAAAGTATTCTACTCGGAACCATGTGAAGACTTCCCAAGGCGAGCGAACCCATTCTATGGCTGGGATTGGCCTTACTGCCCTCCAATAACCCGGGTTTTGATTGTGACTCGCAGCAAGAAACAGATATATCAAAAATAGAAAAAATAGAAAGAAGCAAGCAACAACCACAAGGAAACAAATCGGCCAGCCTCCCAAGAGGTCCACCTGCGTGTCTGGGCCTCCGCACGACTTCGGCCCGAATGGGAGTGACCGGAATGGGACCGGTGCCGGTGCCGGTGGCGTCCATGGGAAGAGCTGCGACCTCGAGCGCCGAGGGAAGGGTCGGGTGGGTCGGTTGGTTGGTGGGTTGGGGTTGGTGGGTTGGTGGGTTGGTGGGTTGGTGGGTTGGTGGGTTGGTGGGTTGGTGGATTGGCGGGTTGGTGGGTTGAATGGGTTGGGTGGGTTGGGTCGGTTGTCGGTTGGTTGGTTGGTTGGTCGGTTGGTTGGTCGGTTTGTTTATTGGTTGGTGGAGTCGCCGGTTGCCAGAAAGGAGATGCGTTGTGAACGGCCACCAGAACAGCCGGCCCGCGCAGCTCTTTCCCTTCAAGATTGGCTCTCAGCAAAGGGCTCCTTCTCAGCACCCTTCTGGGATGTCTATGCCGAGTGCCTTGGAATAACTCAAATCAAAAACAACAAAACACCGGCACCCGACCTGGTCCAAACTTGTTTCTCTTGAGCTGCATTTCACCTTGCGGCTTGGCCCCAAAAACATGTTGGAAACGGGTCGCCTTGTTCGCCTTGTCTACTGCTCTTCCAGGTTGGTCTGCTGAAAAAGATTCAAACACACGTCTCAAAATAGAGGAATCCCCCAACATGGTGGATGCCCGTTTGTGTCTCTTTGACTCTTCCCAAAGAAAGGGTACCCTCAAAACAAACCCCACACACAAGCATCACATATAAGGCACTGCGAAACATGTTCTCTCTGGGCTACTCCCCTGCGAGTTCCCCGCTTCCCAATGGGCCTGGACAAAAAAGGTTTTCACCTGTTGGGACCTTGACTAAAATGGACCAACAATGGAAAATCAGTTTAGGTCAGATCCGGTCGATTCGCTTTGGGAGAAAGTCAAGCAGGCGACAGGGGGTGGGACCCGCTGAGAGGGGTCGACCGATTCCAAGGTGGCCAAGGTGACTCATCTAGGTCCTCCAGTAGAGAGGTTAGAATGGGTACCCTTTTTTTCTGTAGTCTATTGTAGTAGGGGAACCCTCCCCCAAAAAAGGGTAAAAGGGCACTACTGGGGGACCTAGTCATGGCAAAGCCAGCCAGACCTTCCTTGAACAAATTCTAGCCTAAGGGTCAAAAAGCCTCGAGGAAGCTGCAATCGAGCAGCAACCACGACATATTGACTTTACATTTTGCCGAAATCAATGTAAGGTTTACAAAAGCCTTGCTACAATCTTATCATCAAACTAGATTGTAGAACCGCCTTCCCAACAGCAAACAAACGTCTTGGGTGCTGCACTTGGTGCCATAAGTGGCATTCAACTCTCTTGTCCCAAACATTCTTAGGATTGTCGTTGACATGCAAGTGAGACACCCCCTTTCCATTGAAGCTTCACGTGCACTATAGGTGGTCAAGTGCCCAAAGCAAACAAACTAGATGCTGAAAAAGAAGTGATTCCTTCTCCTTCTACACGACTCCCTCTGCCAAGATGCTGTGACTGCGGTGACTGCCGTGGTGGCCGCCCTTTCCTTTGCCCTTGCCTTTCCATTTCCCTTTTCCTTTGCCCTTTGCATCGTCCCACACACCTGCAGACTGCACGCTGAGAATCGAGAGGCTAACAATCAACTCGGCTCCTTGTTCTTACCCCTTAAAACTCCAAGCCCTGGGGAAGTTAACCTTTTACAGACATATAGCCCATGTTACCCAAAAAGTTACGAAAAGTTGTGTTTTTAAGAGGTAAGTGTTAGAACGGCTCCAATCTGTTGCGCCCTCGCCCCACTGAAAAGAATGATTGCTGGCCAACATGGGCTTATGGATACAAAGGCCTGGGCGAGTTTCTGGTCGGAGTGCTTAAAAAAAAGGAGCTTCAAGTCAGAACTTAGACTCCGTCCCCAGTGAATCTCAATTCAAGAAGCTCTGCTGAGTCATGTGTGGCTCCATTGTCCCTTTCAGCCATCACATCCGGCGAATTCCAAAGTTGCCAAGGCGATGGCTGAACCCGGATAAACCTCGAAGTCAGGACCTCGCTTCCTGAGTAGATCGGCCAAGAGGTCAAAACTGTTTCTTTGCCACTCAACTGATCTTCCCAAGTGACTCAAGTCCAGGACCCTTGGACTGTGCGGGACCCGTGTTGCCGTAGCTCTGACTGCCAGTTCATCCATGGCAGCCGAAGGGGGTTTCTGGGACTGAACGTAAGACATGGCCGCGCGTTGGGCAGTTCGGGCAGCTTGGGCAGTTTGGACATTTTCCTCACCTCAGGCACCCGGAACTAAAAGCCGTTCACCTTCTGGACCAAGGGGCGCGAAAAAAGCTGATCACCTTTTGATGAGTAAAAGCTGATCACCTTTTGACGCAACATGACTAAGTATGGTTGCCGAAATGGTTGAAAACTAAATGTGGTTGCCAAAATGATTGAACACCAAAAAGGTCGGATTCGGTCGATTCGCTTTGAACCACTGAGTTGACACGAATTCCAAAGGCTGAAGTCTGAGCTTCGGAACTTTAAGCAAACGACCTTTATCATGTCTTTCGCTCGTTAATAAAATAGGAGCAGATGGTTTGAGGCTTCAGTCGAACCCCATTTTTTCCCTAAAAAACACCTCGAAAAACTCCCCGGTGATCTGGCGAGATCTGGCCTTTGCCTTCACTCTTGCCCTTGCCTTTGCTCTTTCCTGCGCGGTCGACCCAGCCGCGAAGCTAGTGCCGAACAACTCTGGGCGCGTGCCCTCTTTCCCTCACCGGGTATAGCTGTATAGCCCTTCATCTTGGTTGCTGTTGACCCCCTGCAAAAAGTTTAACTGTTTGGGGGTTGAGTGGCAAACCCCCTGAGTTCAACCAAAAAGTTAAAGTCTAAAGATCCGTTGCCCAAAAGCAGTCAAGTCATTTACTCTCCTGCGTGGCTTGCGCCAAAAAGTCCGAACTTGCTGATTGCCAAAAGGGTCTTGACAACAAGTGACAAAAGCCCGGCACCTCGAGCGAGCTTTGCATCTTCAGAGAATATGACCCCCTTCACCCCGCCTTCTCTGCAGAAACCACCCCATGACTCCAGGTGTTGGCCTTTTAAGAAAAGGATTCCTGAAGAGAATAAACATGGCAGGAACAGCCATGTTCAGACTTTTGTTCAAAGTTTGAAAGGCAACTAGGGGTCTAGTTGCGTTACTAAAAGTTGTGATGCTAATGGATTACATCACACGCACACACATTGTGGATCGTATGGGTTGTTTGTTTTAGGGTTCCAGATCTTGATCAAGCTAGACTTAAACTCCGGGATGTTCCTTTTGTGGATATAAATCATTCCTGGGTTCAAGTCTCCCTTGGGGTCTTGGGGTAGTCAAAAAAATGGAATCTTGGGTTGTTTAGCATGGACGATCACATGCTTGGAATACATGCGACAACAATGCAAATCCAAGCTGGTGGGATGTGCTTCTTCGCGACGACTGGTGCTGACTGAGTGCGTTGGTGATTCACACTGCTTTCAAAGCCCATCTGCACATTTGTCACTAACCCCAAAGGCTGGATTAAGAATTGGATCCCCAAGTAAACGACCTTCCGAATCGATGAGCTGGCTGTAAAAGAGGCAGATGGTTTGAGGCTTCAGTTAACCCCCATTTTCTTCTAAAAAACCTCGAAACTCACGAAATCACCGAAGACATATCTCTGCACCAGAGAGTTTATAAAGTAGGCAGAAGCCTTGCCAGGGTCTACAGCAACCAGGTGCGGCCTTGCTCCGCCACCTTGCCATCCTCGCCTTGGTTGGGCGAACATGGTATAAGCCAAGCGTCTGAACTGTTGAGTGAGTCAAAACTCGCTAGGTACCCTACAGATAAGAAACACCTTGTGGGAATTGGACAGCAACCATTTGAACACAAATGGTTGACCTGCTTGATGCAATCGCAAGATGAGTCTGAGCTAATCATGCCCTGTCGTGCACTGAAGCAAGGCCAGGACCAACCCCTGCAGCCCGGCAAATCTTTTGGCACACGTGCATCAACATAAAATGGTTCCGCCCGGTTAGTTTCTTTGAGGGCACACCAGCACCAGGGTATCCGTGCTCCGAAACATGCAGCGCCGGCTCATCTTGTCCGCCCGTAGAATCTCAAGTTGCCTGTGCCTCTGCTGACACTTTGGACGCGTTGAACTTTGCGGGGATGGCGGCTCAAGGTGTCTCCTGTTGTCTACTCGCACAGGACCCTGGCAATCTCGACAGCCCCCAGTACTGAACAATATCGATCAGTCCAAAGCCCAAACCAACAGGCCGAAACGATATGGGTGTGCCTTAAAATAGCGGACCCACACCCCTCCCAAAACAAAATGGTGGTTATCATTTCGAAAGTTTCCCTCTAAAACCCACAAAACAAGGTTCCAAGTCATAAACAGCAGTTAAACATGCCGCTGCCCCAGTGGGCGAGTCCCTGTGGTTACCCGGGGTTGTGATTGACATTTGTAAAGCACCCCTCCATACCGCAAAATACTTGACCTAAATCTCGTGAGCGTTGGGTGAGCTTTTGGACAATCCCGAAATAACCACATCTCCCCCCTCCCCGATCCCCAAGTGCCTCAACCGATGGAGACAAATAAAGCATCCTGAAGAGCCAAGACGCCAGCTTTCGCTTCTTTGGCTTCTTCCTTTTCTTCGCTTTTGGCCGCTTTGGAATCTTCCTGGAAGCTGTATGAAAAAAGGCTGGTGCAGATACCTCCATCCAGCAGACCCTACTGCCCAACCGGGTGTTTTCGCAGAGTAGGGGACCCTTAAAATGCTTGGCTCCTCAAAGTTGCTTTAACCCAAAGGGCCTACCCCCAAAAAAAATTGCCAAGCCGACACTTGGGTCTGACTCGGTTAACTTGGTGGCTTGGATTGGTGGTTAGAGATTAGGAGGGTCCTTTCACCAGGGGTTGAAACCCGGAAACCGCCAATTAAGGGGAACCTGATTCATTGTGCTTCCAAGGAACCCAGAGTTTGAAACAGAAACCTTGGCCCTACCGCGTCCAAGTACCTCCTTCTGGATTTTAGGGGGGAATAAACACTTAGCGCCATGAGGCTGTCTCCACCCTCCAAATTCTCAGTTGTTCAGTGACCCTGGGGAAAAAAGGGATTTCTTTGGGGAAGTTCCCATTTTTAGTGGGGCAGCAACCCCAAAAAGATTGCATGTTTAGTGGGGCAGCCACCCCAAAAAAAGTTGGAACAAGGAAACTAATTGGCGCCAGTGAACAACTGAGCTGAGTACCAAGGCTGAGCTCCCGAGTTCCAGACCTCGTCGCAAGCTAAAGAGTTCTGTGCGTCGGTCCTTCGGGCTCTCTGCCTCCTTGGCTTCCGCTGCGCTGGATGCGTCCTTCGGCTTGGCTGCCGCTTCCGCATCCTTCGGCTTATCAGCATCAGCACCTGGCGCGGATTTTTGTCGTTTTCCGGAAGAGCAACAGGTCGTTTCTAGGAATGCCGGTGGTTCAATCCAGTCAACAGAAATACGAGGTTCCACCCGAAAAGCCGGCGAGACTCAGAGAACCAGAACCCTGACACCGATTACTAGCAAGGTCCGGGAGAATCCCAAAAGCTCGAGAATCCCAATCGCCGAGCCTGTGGGAGCTTTGCCCGGGTGCTTGGAGCCTTGCAGGTGTGCGGCTGCAAAAAACGACGTCTCGGAAAGAGAAAAACACCTGGTGAGTCAAAACCGATCGGCACTGAAATGGCCTACCCAGATTAGTGCAAAGAAAGTCACCATCCAAACGGATGGGTATGAAAATGGTCGGGACCCAAGTCAACGTAAAGAACTACGAAGGCGGCACCTGATTCTGGCTGGGGCTGTCCCTTACTAACCTTGACTTGCCCGGGTCTTGAGCAAGTGGCTCTGGTGATGGATTGCAGTGAGGCTTGATCCAGTTTCTGCAAATCCGTGATTCGACGGAATCCCCTTGAGCGAGAGCAGGCGGCTCTCTCCTCCAAATGCCTGAGGATTAAACGTTGAAAATCGATTGACCCCTGCGAAAAATAAAATAAAAACATATTCCCGTTGAACTGAACTGCTCGCACTGCACTTCCCAAGCTTGGCAAGCACGCACGCACGTTTGCGCGCAGGCAAACAAACAAACAACACCCAGCCACGTGTGCGATGGGCTTCGCGATGCATGGCACTCAGGAAAGCCTTCAGTCCAGGTGTGTATAACGGGAGAAGTCTTGCCATGTCCACTGCAAAGCGGTGTCCTTTAGAACTTGATGAGTTGTTCACATACCCCAGGAAGGCAAATTAATATGATCGAACAAAGGCACTTTGCATTTGCTGAAGCGCGGCATCTGAATGGAGAGCCCACATGGTAAGCATTGCTCCGGAAAAAGGGGCCTCCCTTTGAGCTGCAGTGAGCCCCCCCAAAAAAACACACACACAAAAACACAACAAAAAACCGTCAGGGGCTTAGCTCAATAAACCACTTGGACTCCAGAATCTAAGGGGGCTTCAAGAATGCCCGAACTTCCGGGCAACTTCCCCCCTACTTGGTTCACGGCAACGGTACAGGATAACATCTACTTATCCCCAACAAAAATCGGGAATTCACGCAATAATGTTGAGGCAATAAATCCGCCGACATTGCTCGGCGTGTCGGACACCTAAGAGAGGATACAGGATAACCCCCCCCTTACCCCCCCCCGCCCGACGTCTGATACGTGGGGGGGGGGGGGGGGGGGGGGGGCCCCCCCCCCCCCCCCCCAAGGACCGCGCGGCAATTTGATGACGTTCCACTAAACGTAGTCTTCGGGGAGCCGGTGTCGCAAAACAGGGGTCCCAGGCTCGATTCCCCCTGCCGCTTCTTTGCTGGTTTGGGGCTCCTGCCTCCTTTTGCCGAAAATCTTGAAAAACTCTGTGTTTTTGGACGTTCTGTGTTTTTGGACGCCGACATTGCTCGGCGTGTCGGACACCTAAGAGAGGATAGAGGATAACCCCCCCCCCCTAACCCCCCCCCTTACCCCCCCCCGCCCGACGTTGATACGTGGGGGGGGGAGGGGGGGTGGGGGCCCACCCCCCCCCCCCAAGGATCCGGCGGTAATTTGATGAGTTCCCACTAACGTAGTCTTCGGGGAGCCGGTGTCGCAAAACAGGGGTCCCAGGCTCGATTCCCCCTGCCGCTTCTTTGCTGGTTTGGGGCTCCTGCCTCCTTTTGCCGAAAATCTTGAAAAACTCTGTGTTTTTGGACGCCCTGCTTGGAAAACCGTGCTTTTTTTTGCGGGGAATATTGGGGAACAAAGGGGAAATGCAAGGAAGGCATGACGGGGGATGTAGGGAAACGACTCGCGACGAAAGAACGGGACATAACTGCAATGACATGCGGGGGACAGCAAGCAGAAATGAGAGGAAATCCAGGGACATGAGATGGAAACGAAGGGGAGCTCAATCTAATACGTTTTTTGGCACCAACCCCCGACTAATGTTAACCCTGCCCCGCTGGGACAAAACAATGTCTTTACTGCAAAAGCTATTGCCGGTGCTGGCGTCAACGCTTTTGCCCATGTTGTTGACAAGGATCGCTCTCAACGGCCCCCCCCCCCCCTGAACCAGTCTTGCCCCACACTCCGCCCCCCAATTTTAGCCGCCCCTAAATCAAGGCCCTCTCGAGGGGGTAGGGGATTCTGCACATCCGGAATCGTCTGTTCGGAATCAGGCGCCAGGGGCCCAACTGGAAATTCCTACGCAAGTTGATTAGTCAGGCCAGGGCATCTCAAAATAGGAATCGGACCCCTTATTCGATGGTTTTCAAGGGCAACCACAAGGAAACCAATTATCTGTAGGGTCCCTCCGCCGACATTGCTCGGCGTGTCGGACACCTAAGAGAGGATACAGGATAACCCCCCCCCTTACCCCCCCCGCCCCCCAAGGACCGCGCGGCAATTTGATGACGTTCCACTAAACGTAGTCTTCGGGGGGCCGGTGTCGCAAAACAGGGGTCCCAGGCTCGATTCCCCCTGCCGCTTCTTTGCTGGTTTGGGGCTCCTGCCTCCTTTTGCCGAAAATCTTGAAAAACTCTGTGTTTTTGGACGCCCTGCTTGGAAAACCGTGCTTTTTTTTTGCGGGGAATATTGGGGAACAAAGGGGAAATGCAAGGAAGGCATGACGGGGGATGTAGGGAAACGACTCGCGACGAAAGAACGGGACATAACTGCAATGACATGCGGGGGACAGCAAGCAGAAATGAGAGGAAATCCAGGGACATGAGATGGAAACGAAGGGGAGCTCAATCTAATACGTTTTTTGGCACCAACCCCCGACTAATGTTAACCCTGCCCCGCTGGGACAAAACAATGTCTTTACTGCAAAAGCTATTGCCGGTGCTGGCGTCAACGCTTTTGCCCATTAAATCGTTGAAAAAGAGCAGAGCCAGAAACGTCAATCTGTATATATGTATATATATCTATCCCATGTTGTTGACAAGGATCGCTCTCAACGGCCCCCCCCCCCCCTGGACCAGTCTTGCCCCACACTCCGCCCCCCAATTTTAGCCGCCCCTAAACCAAGGCCCTCTCGAATAGGTAGGGGATTCTGCACATCCGGAATCGTCTGTTCGGAATCAGGCGCCAGGGGCCCAACTGGAAATTCCTACGCAAGTTGATTAGTCAGGCCAGGGCATCTCAAAATAGGAATCGGACCCCTTATTCGATGGTTTTCAAGGGCAACCACAAGGAAACCAATTATCTGTAGGGTCCCCAATTTTGTGCTAACCCAGGTGCCAAGAACATCCTCCAAAAAGAAGAAGAACCTGACACAGAGCGAACACAGGTCGAGACATCTCGGGAGTACCTGAAAGCACCCATTCGATACGTAGGGTGAACTGGGTCATCCAAGCATGCCGGCATCCCTTTTTCCAGCTTGGACACGCGCTAGCCGTCCGTCACTTTGCTGAGTCGTCTCTCAGGTGTTTGTGGGGAGGTGGCATTGGGTGCAAACTTCTCCTGACAAATGGAGATGCGAACTTGCGAGGCGCGGGGCTTAGGAAGGCCCCACGTACACGGCCTCCACATGGGTAAGTCAACGAGGTCTCATCCAGCTACTGTGGGGTTTGCCATCTACTTTCACCCAACTTTAAAACTCTTCCGTTTGCGGGGGCGTTCAAATGTAGTGAGACAAGCCACATTTTGGATTGCATGGTGAAAGTTACAAGCTTTGGCGGTCTGATGTGACTTGCTGAGCGCTCTGTCAAGGTGCTGCCGCCGAGCGTCCCTTGGGCGTTCTGCTTGCTGGCGCGGGCGAGTTGCCCGCCGCTCTTCTTGGTCTGGCGCACGCCTTCGGGGGACCCTCGAACCCAGCCGTGCAAACCAAACTTCACGGCCGTTCAAGACAACTGGAGACTTCTCCCATGCGTTGAACTTGAGACTTCTCCAATGCCTTGCTCCAGATCCAAGCCTACCTGCAACTTGTTTCAAATCTTGCCCTCCCATGCGGGCCACTAGCGCAGCTCAGTCCTGCGCCCACCCACGCCTGCTCCCGTCCTTTGCCTTCTGACCGGCAATTGCGGGTCGTCTTTGTCCTTGCTACACTGCAGATGCTGCGCCGCAACTTTCCCTTAAACCCTGCACAAAAAATTGACGCCCAAGGAGGGCTCTCTCAAGCCCCCCAGCACCAGTCCTGCCGCGCCCTCCCGCTTCTCTCCGCGCGCTGCCCGGCGCCCCGGCTTCGACCGCCCGCGTGCCGCGCGGTCACGCGTCCGCAGTGCTACTCCAACACGGCCTGCACACAGGCGGACGCTCCCGCGCCATATCCGCCTGCGGTCTGCACCTCCCGCACCGCTTGCACGTCCTATGCCCCGCCAGGCGCCGAACCACCGGCTTGCATTGCATGCATTGCCGTCGCTTTGTCGGCTTCGCGAGCTCGGCTCGAGCGAACTCGCACAGCGCCCGCTGCACACCGCAGCCTGCGCACAAGATTCCGTCAAATCCGTCTGCTTCGGACTCAGCCGCCGGTAGCGCGTCGGCCCTGCCGGCGCTCGCAGCCTCCGGGTCGCATCTTTCCGCCTGCAGCTCTGTCGCCAGGGGCGCCCGTGCCTGCACACTCGAGCCACCGACACTGCTCGACGTTCCTGCGTCTTCCGGGCCGCGTCGCGTTGCCGTCGTTGCAGGACGTCTGCCACGGGCGTGTCGAGTTCTGCCGGCTCGCCGCAGCAGGCGCGACACTTTCGCAGCGAAGCAGGCTCCCTGCGCTGCTTCCGCGAAAACGCCACCGCCGCGCTTGCCACGCCGCACAGCGCGCATACACACCTGCCGTCGCCCTGGCTTGCCCGCTCGGCGCACGCGCGACACTTGCGCGCGCTTGCTTTCTTTGCCAGCTGTGTTGCGCTGAACGCGCCTTTCCCCAGCTGTCGGTCGCAGCTTGCGCAGCGCCAGTTCTCGCCGGCGCCGGTTGCCTGCTCGGCGCACGTGTGACACTTGCGCTCGTTTCCTGGCTTTGCCAGCTGTGCTGCGCTGAACGCGCCTTTTGCCAGCATTCGGCTGCAGCTCGCGCAGCGCCGGTCTTGTGTCTCGCCGGCGCCGGCGCACGCCCGACACTTCCGGGCACCCGCATCTCTCGCCAGCTGCGCGTGCGTGAACGCGCCTTTTCCCAGCTTGCGCTCGCAGCCGACACACCAGCAGTCTGGTGCCTGACAGCTCTTGCAGATCTGCCTTTTGGTCCTGCCTCGGCCGGTGTCTGCGCGGCCTGCTGCGTTGTTTGTGGGGAAGTCTTGTCGCGGACACCAGGTCAGGCACAAGCTGCATTCTGCCTTGAGCGCCCAGCAAAGGTTGCATATGTCTCGACCCGCGCCTCGCTGTGCACTAAACTCTGCTTTCTCCTTGCAGATGTGACAGGCGACGCATGTCTTCTCGCCGCGACGACAGACTTGGCAAACGGCTGCGCTGGCTGCGCTGGTTGCCGCGCTGCCGTCCGGCGCAGCGAAGCTGGCGCTCGGCCTCTTTCTTCCGCACCGGCTGCACTCCTTCGTTCCGCCGTCTGTCGTCTCTAGCACGGACCAGTCGACTGGTTCTCCTGACAGCCACTTCAGCAACACAACAGGGCCCGGCGCAGGGCCGCGCGCGAGCAGACCGCGCACAAACGGCCGAAAAATCAGGACATCCTCCGCGCGGCGTACCCGCGACAGCGCGACGTAGCTCCCTACGCTGGACATCTCCGCGCTCAGCTGTAGGTCGACGATAGCTTTCTCCAGCGTCAGTCCAAGCGCACCGTGCGCAGTGAGCGCCAAAGCCGGGCGGAGGGGTATCTGCGATCTCCGCACCCATAGCACCGGCTTCCTTCCTGGCGCTGCCGTGTCGACCGACCACCGGACGGTTTGCGGGGCCAGCGGGTACTGCCCCACGGCCAAGTCTGGACAGACTTGCCACGACGCGTCCGGAAACTCGACAACCACCGCCGCCGCCGGCTTGGACAAAACGGCTGCCTCGCTCTCGTCACCCTCCACAGTCCAGGAAACCACCTTGCCCACGGCTCCGCGCCACAGCTTCTTGGGTCTGTCGATATAATCACACAAGCTGACGGGCAGCCCCTGCACTAGCGGCAGCATGCCAGGAAGGCTCCCTGTCTTGCGATCGTGGTATGTCAGCCAAGCCAGCTTTCGCTTGCGCAGGTCTGGGTCTGTTGCGAGGGCCGCGCAGTCTGCCCTGTCTCGCGCTGCGCACCATCTCACCGCCTGATCTGTCTGCCTTGCGTAGTCCTGGGCACGAATCTTGTTTGCCTCGTATTTGACATCATTATTGGCGACGATCAGGGGAGCGTCTTTGAACTTGCCTGCGAAGCGACCGTCCGTGGGGCCGCTTGCCACCAGGCGCCGCCGCTTTCTCTCCAGCTGGCACGCCGTGCATTCCTGCTCCAGGCAGGCCGCGCCGCATAACGCAGCGCACTCCCTCTTTCCACACAGCACTTGCCCGTTCACGAAACTGCCTGGCACGTCCGTCGGCAGCCCGTGCAAGAACTTGTGGTTCTCCTCCGAGAGGCGCCCGAAGCGGCATTGCTCTAGCAAGTCCAGCCACCAGGCATCGCGGCACCGCTGCGGCGTCTGCATCTCCGTGACGCCGTGCAGGCCATACCCGTCACCCTTGTCCCAGATCAAGGCCTGGCCGAACTCAGCCGTTGCTGCGCAAGGTCGCTGCATGCGCTCGAAGTCGGGAAGGCTGCACAAGCTTCGCCCGTTGTCCGGCGGGTCGAGTTGATGAAAATCCCCTGCCAGAACCATGCTCAGGCCGCCCCACGGTCGCTCGCTGTTGTCGCTTGTCAGCTTCGAGGAGCCGCGCTCTGGTCGCAGTGTCCGCGCCTGCCTCTCCATGACCGCCAGAAACGATGCTGACAGCATGGAGACCTCGTCTACAACGACCCACTCGAGGCGCTGGAAGCTGCGCTGCTTCTCTTGCAGAGCTCCCGGACCCAACTCCACAGGTTGCCCAAACTTGTTCAGCCCAAAAAAGCTGTGGCAGGTTTGCCCTTCGTGCTGCGCCGCGTTGCTCACTTGCAAGGCTACGAACGCAAACTGGACGCCGGCCTGCCAGCCCATGACCATTTCGAAGAGCTCGCGGAGCTTTCCCAGCACGAACGACTTCCCGACCCCGGGCCTGCCGTGCAACAGCCACCGAAGAGGCTCTCCCGGACAGCCTCGGCCAGGCTGCTTCCCGCGGACGCGCTGCTTTCGGGGCAGTCCCTTGCACAACTGCTCCACCACTACGCGTAGAAACTCGTGCTGTTCCGCCGCTAGGCCTTCTTGCTGGCCCAGCCATGCTTCCAGATCCTCCTGAAACGGCAGCGGGTGCACTCGCACATCTCCCGCCCTTGGGCACGCTCTTCCGCCGCCCTCTGCCTCCCATGCCGCCGGCCGCTTGCTCTTCTTTGCTGCCTCCAGCTGCTGCTCGGCTGCACGCAAAGCCTCGGGTCCCCCCTGCTCTCCCCTCCGCTCTGTTCGGCCGCGCTGCGTCTCGCCACCCCACACTTGCTGCGCGCGGGCCATGGCGTTGGTCGAATTTGTCCAGTGCGACACTTTCTCAGCGCCACTCGTCGCACCAGGTGCCGCAGCTCTGCCGCTCACATGTGTCTCCAACGCGACCGGTAGTTCCTCTTGGGTGAGCATGACTTCCTCGTCGCTGAAGGACTCAACTTCGTCCGAGTCGACCGCGCTCCCACCGGGGCGCGAACGTGTGACATTTAGGAAGTTCTGCACGTACCGCTGCTGCTCCACGCTGCTAGCCCCGCGACGCTGCCAGTTGGCAAACGCTGTTGCCCAGGAAGCGGCACTGCCCCGCAGCTGCGACGCCAGGGGGCAGCCCTCTGCAGCGCAGTGCTCCAGCAACGTCCAAGGATGAAAGTACGCCATGAGTAGCATGCACGTTCTTTCGGAGCTGCTCACTTTCGGTAAGGGGGCTCCGGAAAACACAGGAACCACCGGACGCGTCCGACGGACCATGACCCACTGATGACGAAAGCGCTCCGTCTCTGGCAAGTCCGGGAAAGGCACCCAATCCTCGCCGCCGCCTTCCCGCACACGGTAGTCCACGCCTGCCTCGAGGCCCTCCGACTTTGCGCGACCGCTCGCCGTCAGATCTGCGTGCAACACTGTTTGCCCCTTCGCGACGCGTTCCGCCGGCGCGCGGTAGCGAGCCAGCTCCACTCTCCAGTAGCGCACCCACTCGTATGCGGACAGGTCTCGCATGCCCCACTGCGTCCCGCGACAGCCGTAGAGGATGTCCATGCGCCGCAATGTCAGCGACCGGTGTCGCCGAGATCGCCAGTCCACTTGCAGGTACTGCCGTTGCGGCCGCTCTGCCGGCTCCTGTTGCACCGGACCCTCGACGCAATCCAGAAAGACGCGTCCTGGAAAGCTCTCTGTCGGAGCCGTTTGAAACGCTTCCGCAGCAGTCACTACGTTGCTGTCCTGCCGCGTTAGCAGGTTCACCACTTCCGGCGCGCTGCGCACGATTCCCCGCCCATACGCATCCGAGAGGAACCGCCGTAAGTGCCGCGCGCCCTGATAACTGCACGCCTTTCCGGCCAACTCCTCACCCAGCGCTCTCTGGCCACGCATCCACTCGTTCACCTCGTGCAGCGCTACCACCTGCTGCCGTAGTCCCCAGCGTATCCACACTGTGCGTTCTGCGCGTGCTGCGCGGCGGTTATGACGCTTTGCAGATCTACCCCGTCCAGGCAGCTGGCCTCATCGCACAGGCTGCTGTGGGTTTCCTTGCAGGGCGGGAGTCGATACGGAAGCTGGACGTCCGTGTTCGCCCGCAGCGCAGCGGTCAGTGCCGGATGGGTGCCGTTCACCCATTCATTGTTGCGCGGCCCCACGAGAGCGCCCACTAAATTTCTACGGCCTTGGAACGGCAGATTGAACGCCCGAGCCAAGCCGGGACAAAGCACCACCGCCTCGCTACAGATTTCCTGCACGCGTGGAAAGCGCCCCTTACACACTGTTCGATCCTTTCTGCTTTGACAGTGCCGTAGAAGTTGCCGACGACCCTCTGCATCAAAGGGGTGTACGTGATGTTGCTTCAGCTCTTGAATCCTTTGCACGTCGGCCCGGAACGCTTCAGCCCAATACGCGTCGCTCGCGTCCCCATCCAGCAGATACGTCGGCATGGACACGAGCGCCGGGTTGCGGGCATGCTCCGGCCACGCTGCCTCGACCTCGTGCGCACGCTGCTGCTGCGTGGCCAGGTCGTCGTAGGTTTCTTTGCACACGTGTGCCTTGAACGCCAGATATCGCTGCACCATCGGCGCGCTGGCTTCCTTCTCCAGCCGGTTCCAGATTTCGTGCAAGGGCGTGACTTGGTGAAGATTCTCCGCGAAGACTTGCATGTGCGCGTGCAAGCCGCCGGCTTTCTGGTGTTCCAGCGCCGCATACACCGCTGTAACTCGCCCGAAAATTCCGAGGCGCAAGGATGCGACGCTGCCGTCTTCGGACATGCAGTTGCATCGCGGGCAGTTCTTGCAGATGTTGATGCCAAACAAGTGTCGCAGACACAGCCGCAGTTGCAAGTGAAAGGCCTCCACCACTGACAGCGGGTCCGCCGCCGCCAGGTGACGCCGTGCTTCAAAGGCAGGCAGCGAGCCTGCCGTTGCCTCTGTCACAGCTGTGCCCAGCACAGGCTGGCGTTCTCCGCCCCACTGCCGCGCGTCCTCGTCCGCTTCCACGACAGGGTCGCTCTTTCGACAACGAAACAGTCGCACACTCAGCAAGTTGTCCCGCTCGTTTGGACTGATTGTTACGAAGATTGGCTCCCCGTAAATGATGCGGTACGCGTGCGTCTCGTGTCGCATGAGCTTCCTCACCTCCACGGTGCCTGGAATCTTCGCTGATACGTGTTGCACGTTTTGCAGCAGAACGCGCGCGGCGCGAGGAAGCTCCGGCACCATGTGCAGCTTCGAGACGTCCCCAGCAACCGGCTGCAGCGGCGCGTCCGGCCCTGCGCGGTACTGACCGCGCAAGGCCTTGCACAGCGCGACGGCGCCCTCCGTCAGCTCCTCACTTGTCAGGCTGGGCAGCCCACGAGGCACGTACGCAACCAATCCACGGCTCGCGTTCACTTGCACGCGAAAACTGTAGTTCCACAGCGCAAACAGTAGCAGCCAGTCGCGCGCAAATTGGCTTTCTGCACGTCGACTCACAGCGCGAGCCCAGCGCGGGAAGTCGATGATTGGCGCCGACGCTTCCCGCCTGTACCGCGTCGTTGTGCCGTGATGCACCAAGTCGGGCAAGCCTATGCAGTAACTGAAGCAAAACGCAAAAGCGACACCGAAATACAGCGGCTTGAACTGATCGACCAGCTGCGACCCCGCGGTTACAGTCACCGCTGCATCGGGCGGCTCTGTCCCCCATCGAAGCTGCGTGTCAAAGTGTCGCCAGGCCGCGATGTCCTGCGCGACGGCATCCTCCTCCAATGCGCTGCTGTTTTCAAGCAGCACTGCGTGGGGGCGCACATCTGCCAGCTGCCGCGCCGCGTCTTCCGCTTCCAGGTGACACCCATCGGCGGGCGTTGCCGCTTTCTGCGGACGCAGGCGACTGATGTTCCGATCCGGGTCCAGCAGCCGCACGATTTCCGGAGGCACCCCGTCCTCCGGCAGACCTGCAGCCCGAGTCATGGCCGCGTCCAAGTCCACGTTTGCATACGCAGTGTGCTTCCGCGCCACAGCTCCGCGGATCAAGGCCAGCACTACGGCCCGCCGAACCCGTGCCTGATGCAAGAATCTCCCTGCGTCCGCCTCCCCTAGCCCACCACCTGTCCGCAGTAAGACTTGCACCGTCTCTGCGAGCTCCACGCCAGTCCTCGGCAGCGCCACGCTGTTGCCAGCTTCCATGCTACCGAGCTGCGCTAAGAGGTCGAGCCAGGGCAGTGGATACGACGTCACATTGCCGCGCGCCCCGAGCCGGTGGCGAGGCATGTACGCCGTCGCGTCGTAGACGCTGCTTGCACGGTGGTACTCTAGGGAGAAACAAAACATGCCGGTGAGGCACGGCGAGGCTGCAATCAGTTCGCACACCGTGGCCGCCTGGGTGTAGATCTCCACAGGCAAGTACCCCGTCCACATGTCGTTGGACAACGCTGCAGCTGGAAGCGAGCCCCTCGATGCGCGCCAGTCTTGGACACACACGGAGCAAATCGGGATGCTGCACGCTGGGCAGAGCTCTCCCGCACCCATCCGCGCGTCGTGCGCTGCGCAATCTACGTCTTCCGGACAGCACAACAGAGGCGTGCCCTCGAACCCTCTGAGCCACTCACGGAACGCAGCCTCGTTGCCGCGCAAGTCTGGCCCGCTCGGCCAAAGATTGCCATACTTCTCCATGTACGTCGTGAACGAGAGCAGTTCCAGCAAACCGCGCATGTCCGCTACGCGGTACCGCTGAATATCCTGATCCGTCTCCTCTTCCACGCCCGCAAATCGGCACGCGCACACAAAGCACATGAGCGTCCGGGCCGTGCGCACTTGATCGCAGTAGCTGCGCAAGCAGGTGCGATCTTGGCGTGCGCTCGCCTGTGGGGGCGACCTGCGCGCCAGCTCCTGCAAGCACAGCCGGTACACCGCCAGGTGCGCCTCGCTGCTGACCCCCTTCAAGCGCGACCGAGCCGCCACAGCCGCCGCCAAGTCGCCCGCATGTGCTTCTCGCAGGTGCGCATCCAGCACGTCCGCCGTGGCACACGTGTACTCACACCCGCGAAACGCGCAGACGATGCGCCCGCAATGCTTGCCCGCAAATTCCGACATGGAGATCATCCTCCCAGCGACAGTGTCCTCCACAGCTTCCTCCAGCGCCTGCCTTTGGTCTCCACTGTCCCTGCGCACGCCCATGCCCAGGCTGACAACCGCCTCGTTCTCTCCTGCTTCGCCTCCTGCAGCTTCTGCGCGCTCGAACGCAGTGGCCGCCTCCTCCACAACGTCCAGCTCTGCAACGCGAACACTGACTCTGCCTTCGAAGAAAAGCGGGTCATAGTGCCACCCGTTGCCGTCTGCATCCGTGCGACTGAACAAACTTAGCCGGAGCTTCTCCGCAGGCTGTCCAGCGCCTGCTAACACTACTCGGTCTGGGCACCGGTGTACGGCGTCCCCCGCTGCATACACTGTGAGCTCTATGTCCGGCCACTCCACCTTGCCACAGTCCGCCATGATGCTCCGCAGCACGGGCTCTGCGTGCACGTGATGCTGCAGGTATGCACACTCGTGCTCCGCTGCAGTCGCTCTACTGTCCCGCGCACCGCACGCATCCAGCCGCTGTGGGCGCAGCCTGACGTCCGCCTGCGCCACCAGTCTCGCTCGGGCCGCCGCACACATTGCTTGCCGCGTCTCCAAAGCAGTACTTCTTCTGGAAGCACATCAGCTGCAGCTAGACATTGCAGCATGCTGTCCACAAGGCAATTGTTCTCCCCGTGCGAGGACCCTTCCCCAACCTCGAGCCCTAGCGCGCGTAGCTCTGCTAACACGTCCGCGTCCATGTTCCATCCCACAGACATCTTGACAGGGCTGCACCCTGCCTCACGCTGCCGGGTTTGAGCTGACGTGCCCCGGATGCAATTTCAGTCTCAGACATGTTTCGACAACAGCTACCCCTCGTTGCATTCTGCTCTTGCCGCCCACAGCCTACCTCCCCACTTTCTACGGAGCAGACGTTGACCTGCAAGCTCAAAGCCTGTGCTTTAAACAAAAACAAAAAAACACGTCGCAACTGTACACAAGCAGCCGCAGCCCAGCTTCAGTTCTCCGCGTCCGCGCTGCCCCTTGGCGCCGTGCCCAGGCGGCTCTCCACACGAGCCCAGGCTGCCTCAAGATCCGCAAATGAAAGAATGGACTCTGGAGGGTTCTCCTGCCTCAAAGTCACATACGCAGTGCGACGCAGCTTCAGATCGCGTGAGCGCTCCCATACCTTGCTGAGCAATTGGTCAGCACAGTCCAACTCCTCCTTGCTGACTCCAAGCTGTTGCCGGTCTTCTGGCGACATGTCTCTGATTTTCGCTAGCAGGTCATCCCAGACAACCCTGACTTGCGAGCCTGGCAGGCCACGTCGCTACACCTCAGCAGCTCCCGCATTGCTGCCGCCGCTCTCTCCTGGTCCATGGTCCACTACAAGCCTGTGGTGCGACGTTTCTTGCTTCCTACGGCCCTGCTTGAGCCACGGAGAGATGCAAGCGGCGGCTGTCCCGTCTCTGGTCCTGTTCCTCTTAACATAATGGCGCTTTTTTTCCCCTCGCTGCAGCCTCGACGCGTTGGAGCGAGGAGCAAGCGCAAGCCCCCTTGCCCAGACTGACATACCGCGCACGCCGAGAGCCCCCGAGCGAAGCCCTGCACGCGTGCGGCCTTGGCAGCACGACGACTCGCGGACTACCCCGTCCAGTCCGGCGCGCAGAGCGCTCCCCACGTCCAGGAAGATGAGCCGCCCGCCCGCCACGCCGAGCGTCCACGCTGCAGTCGACCGGCCGCACGCCGTGCGTGCAGCCAATCCCAGTTCCCGCCTGTGACGCAAGATTTCCTTGGCGCGCACGTCCTGCTTCGGTCCGGGCCGTGGCCACAGACACGAAGCCCGCTCTGCGTGCCTCCCGAGCAGCTACGGGGCCTGGCCCGCTTGCTCCGCGCCGCGCCCGCAGATGCAAGACTCCCGGCCCGGGCCGTGGCCGCAGACACGAATACCGCTCTGCGTGCCTCCGGAGCAGCTACGGAACCTGGCGCGCTTGCTCCGGGCCGTGGCCGCAGACGCAACACATCCTGCTTCGGTCTGGGCCGTGGCCACAGACACGAATACCGCTCTGCGTGCCTCCGGAGCAGCTACGGAACCTGGCGCGCTTAGATGCCGTTGGCGCGCACGTCCTGCTTCGGTCCGGGCCGTGGCCGCAGACACGAAACCCGCGGAACCTGTCGCGCTTGCTCCGGGCCGTGCCCGCAGATGCACGAATTTTGTCCGGACCGTGGCCACAGACTCTGCGTGCCTCCGGAGCAGCTACGGAACCTGGCGCGCTTGCTCCGGGCCGTGGCCGCGGACGCAAGATGCCGTTGGCGCGCACGACCTGCTTCGGTCCGGGCCGTGGCCGCAGACACGAAAGCCGCGGAACCTGTCGCGCTTGCTCCGGGCCGTGCCCGCAGATGCACGAATTTTGTCCGGACCGTGGCCACAGACTCTGCGTGCCTCCGGAGCAGCTACGGAACCTTGCGCGCTTGCTCCGGGCCGTTGCCGCGGACGCAAGCTATACTCCGGGCCTTGGCCACAGGTGCTCCGATCGTACGCCAAGGCTGACCCATGCATGCCCTTCGTACCAAGCAACTGTTGCGGCAATAACAAAAGCAGGGAGTCAACTTTTCATGACCTCCACGAACTTTCTGCGTCAGACAGTTGCTTTGTTTTTTAGAATTAGCGCAGCTGGTATGATGCGCAGATGGGAAACGGAGAAAAGGGAGAGGTCAATGTCGGCGGACTGAGCCGGAGGCTCTAAAGTATCATTGGCACTCCGGGTGCCTCCCTGTGCTCCGCAACCGTATCACCTCGTCGAGGGATACCTTCTGAAAAAGTATATGGGAACGCAAGTTCCACCCCTTGATCTGGCACCGCCAACTCCTTCAACTCGACACTCCAAAAGAGTGCTGCTGTTTTCCTCCATGAACTGACTAGTCAGGATATTCTGGGCTTCGTAGGGCGTACAGCTCTTGGAAGTGCATTCTGTCGAGAAGCCTCTGCTAGAACATTGCTAGGGAAGCTGAGCTTTTTGCACCCCGTGAGGTTGAACCCCCCAAAATTGGTTGGGTCCTGGGCGTTCAGGGGTTCAATGAGACCTGAGAATTGCGCGAAAAGGTACCCAGTCGGGACCCCGAGCCCTTTGAATTCCCTTTCAATCAAGCCAAACACTTGCGACTCCCAAGATGTTCGTCCAGGGCAAAGACGCAATATTGCTTCAACGAAACACATAGACCCTGCAAGATTGCAAAAAACAAAAAGCGCAGAAAAGCATCATCCCAAACGAGCATAGGTGTCCTTTTGGAATAATAGATGGCCCTGGTCAATAGAACAAAATCCATCTAAACCAGTGCCTTATATTTTTAATCAAACCAATCTAAAAAGGACACCTATGCCAACGAGTCTTCTGTGCCCTCCATAAAGGGCACATCCCACCTCCCTTGGAAAGCTGGCGCCAGCTTCTTCGACCCCCTGCTGCTTTCGTGCTTGGCGAGGGGCCCTCGGCGCGCTTCACCTCATGCTCCTCGTGCTTGCTGACAGCACCTCCGAGGCGAGCAATGGGCTAAAAGACAGGCTTACTAACCACCTGGAGTCTCCATTGTACTTGTAATTTTGGGGTCATAGTATCAAAATGGCATTCTTTTGCGAAACGGCGGTTTTTTTCCGTGGGCCACAAGACATGGGTCACAATCAAAACCCGGCATTAAAATGTCGTAATCCCAGAACCATGCTTCAAGAATCAAGAAGGCGGATACTCGCAACTATTTCTGGCTGGGACTGCCCCTTACTAACCTTCATCTACCCGGGTTTTGATTGTGGCTCACATAAATCCCTACGGGTACTTAGCAAGTGGTTAGAGCCTGGCTATAGGAAACTTCTCACCATGGCCAGTGGGTGATAACCAGGCTTGCTAAGCACTTACTAAGTACCCTGCCCCTTTAGGTATACCTTTCCTCCCACAAGCATAGCGACCTGCGGGAGGACACCTGGAAGATCAACTTCCTCTTGAAGGGACCGGGTCTCTGTCAGGTGCCTTGCTAGTGGGAGGGAGGGTATTTCCCTGTGTGGTAGTTTTAAGCATCACCCCTTGGGCCAATTTCAAATAAGTTTCGCACAGGTGGATGACTGAGGGCAAGTATGGTGCGCCTAAAACAAGCAGTGCCAAGTTGTTGTTTTTTTTCTGATTTTTTCTCGGAGAGTACTTTGAATCCAAGTTAAGTCATGATCAAAAAACAAACTAGTAGGTCAACTATTCAGCCCGATATACTTTGGCATCGCGTATTCCCGATCTACCTTCAGAAAAGCCAGCAAAATGTCACACTATATGCGTGCAAGGAGAACAATCTGGCTACATGTTTTTTCATATTCATTTCCGCTCAACTTAGCGGTTCATATTTGGTGGGATATGGCACACATCCCTCCAACCTCTCTTTGCATACGTCCCCTGGCAGAACAAACTGCAGTCCTAGATCCAATTTGAAGCAAACAAGGAATACAACATATTCTGAAACGCACATGGACGTCTAAAACTCCACAAGTCGAAAGCTGCTAAGCTTCTTCAGTGGCTCCGACAGCCCGTCCCTTCACCAACATGGCGCTGAGCTGTGCCTGTCTCGCTCGCCTTGGCTTCTCCTTTGCCTGGCTTTAGGGGCAAGATGGAACCCGTCAGCGTCGGAGCCTCGTTTTGGAGTCAGCAAAAGTGCAGCTGAGTGCCTGCCCAACAGGCTTGCAGAAAGAAACATCTAATACCAACGTCAGAGGTTGCTTTAAAAATAACCTGTGGCTGTCTGACCCAACATTGGGATAATTTCGGCCACGGGCATCTTTTTGTATGCAGTTCTTTGGTAGGGAAGCCAAAAAGAAGCCACCAAAACAGTGGGTTCATGTCAAGACAGACCCAACCATGCCATACTATAGTCCTTGGTGAGACAGAAGCCAGAAAAGGTATTCGCCTGCACGACTCTTAAGGATATCATACGCACGCCCGCTCAAAAGCACAAGCCGAGCACTGCACACATGCCTGCCACATGATAAGCACACCCGCCCAAGAGCGCAATCATAAGCGCACCCGCTGAAAAAGGACACGCCCAATGGCAGGATCGCAACACTGCACACATGCCTGGCAAACGATGAGCGCGCCCGTTCAAGAGAACACGTTCAGCACTGCACGCACGCCTGCCAAATGAGAAGCGCACGTGCTGAAGAGCACACGCTCAGAGCGCACGTTCAGCACTGCTCACACTCGCAAATCATAAGCGTACCGGCTCAAGAGCATACGCTCAATAGCGCAGGCCTGAACACCTGCCTGGCAAACGGTAAGCGGCGTACCCGCTCAAGACAACGTGCGGCGCTGCGCCCGCCTGCCGAATGAGAAGCGAACCTGCTGAAGAGGACATGTTCAGCACTGGACACACTCGCAAGTCATAAGCGTACCCGCTCACGCTCAACACTGCACACACACGCCTGGCAGGCGATAAGCGCGCCCGCTCAAGAGAACACGTTCAGCACCGCACACATGCCTGCCAAATGATACGCGCGCCCGCTCAAGAGTTATCTTCACAGCTGCTTTGCTCTTACATGACTTGACACGAGGTCTGGGGAGTCCGCATAGGCACGATCTAGGAGCCGCGACTGCCAAGGTTTAGCTGCAATTGATCAAGTCATGCTTCACGTGTTACTTGGTCCACCTCGGGAAGCTCCATTTTGCCAGCACAATCAAAACACCTTGGCATATGCTGTCCAGAAACTGCACACATCCAAAATGCGCGCGCAAACGGGTATCCGCCCGACGCGTGCTAAAAATGGCCAGGGTTTTTGGGTGCTGCTCGTTTGTTGTTGAAGGGGCAAAGCAAGGGACAGTGCATGCTAATGGATGTCGCATGCCTGGCCCCCGCAAAAACAAACGGAAAAAAACAAATGCTCTAGGTTCCTTTCGGTTTCATGTCACGGTACCCATTCGGGGTTGTTTTATAGGGAAATACTGAAGATCACTACCCAGTTCCCCTATGTTGAGACAAACCCATATGTCAGTGGAAAGCAACCCCTGCCTTTACCGCTGACCACATGATCTGCAGAATCATGGTGCTTGTGGTCGTCAGCACTTTCAGCGAAGCTGCCTCGGCACCAACGAACAACTCCCCCTGAAAGCATGGATTTGTGCAAAGCATGCACCCCATGGCGCTTGGCAACGGAGATGCACATCATGTGGTTGATTTGTCTCCCAGGAAACCCTCATGGGCAAAACCTGACATGCCTAACCGACAATTATTATATGGGGACTTAAGAGTGGGTTGTAACCGAACAGTCACCAACGACCTACTCGCTTTGCAACGCACCCCTAAAGTAGGACAGTATAACATCTCAGCATGGAGCTCATCATCTTTGACCAGGGTATCTCCGAATATCTGAGACACTTTTCCACTGCCAAATAGGGCAACACAAACAGCACCAAGCAGCACGCCAGGAACACAAGAAGACAATCAACAAAGCAATCAACAAAGCTCAGGTCGGACGAAATGAAAGGTTATCACCTTTTGGGTTGCCAAATCATTAAAAAAAAAAGAAGAAAAAAAAGAAGAAAAAACAAACAGGTCAGGTTTTTCCCAAATCCACTCGAGCTGATGGAACCCTCGGATTAAACCCCACTTCTCAATAGACGGGTGTCCAATTGCTTTTCAGACCACCATTGGAGAAGCTCCCACCCCAAGAAAAAACTTGCTTCTCAAGTGGATTGGTCCGAAAAAGTGTATAAACTGGTTGTTTGCCACTAAAATGGTCCAAACCAGGCCAAGAACTCAGGAAGCCAGTTCAAAAAAGGTTCGGGTACTTGGATCCGGGGTCAACATCTAGGTCCTCCAGTGGAGAGGTTAGACTAAGGGTACCCCTTTTGCTGTAGCCTATATTCGTAGAGGAGCCCTCCCAACCAAAAAAGGGGTGAGAGGTCGGGCACCAATTGCTGGGGGGGACCTAGTGGGGTTTCCCAAAGCATAGCCTCAAAACAATCACCCCATTGGCCCCCTTCGGCCAGGTGCAACATCGTGGTACTCCATTTAAGGGACCTAGACATTAAACTAGGCTGGAATTAATTTGGACCCCAGCAAAAATTCAAAGGCCTGCTTAGTGGAAAACAAAGGGACCCCAAAAAGCAAAAAAAAAAAAAACAAGGGGAGCCAATTCTGGGGAAGTAAACAGATGAGAGGCCCCCCGCGACCAACCCGCGACCGGTCGCGAAATCCGGATGCGTGGGCGTCCGTGCCGAAGAAGTGCTGCAGCCCTCGGCCTCGCCCGGGACCTGAAGTTCAATGAACGCAAGGCGAGACCACGGGGAAAACCTTTGCAGAAAACAACCAATGGGAGGAAAGAACAACCACCTTCGCAGACACCCCTTTGCAGAATTTCGTTTCAACTGCGGAGAAGAAAAAACCACCAATGGGGGGACCAAAAAGGGAATTCCTTTGCATGGCATGATTAGCGGGGAAAACCAGCGGAAAAAGACGACATGTCCCAGGGTTTTGGGGCGCTGCGACTTTCCTGGGCCTATCAAGGGAACACGCATATGGGAGGGGGGGTACCACATATATATATATATATATATATATTTCAATATACATATACATATATATATATATATATATATATATCAATATACATATACATATACTAGGTCATGCAGTAGAGAGGCTAGAATAAGTTGGTACCAACTTTTTTGTGCAGTCTGTTTGAGTAGGGGAACCCTCCCCCAAAAAAGGGCAGATAAGGGCACTGGCGGACCTAGAAGGGGTATTCGGAACATGGTTTGAGGGTTTTGTTATTTCTCTTGGTGTCCCACCTCCGAAAAGGGTGCCTATACAAACCCAGTGGTAACCAGGCAAGCCATGCAAGGCCTACCGGCTTGATTTATCTGACACCATCTAAAACCGACAAGATCCCTTGCTGCACTTGCCGACCCTTTCATTGGGGCCCTGGGTGAAACGGCCTGTTGACCAATATAATCCTAGGTGCTCACCAACCAGCCAGGTGCAACAGCTCCAACGGTCGTGTCCTCCCCCAGTCGGAACTCTTGACCAAACATCATGTCATTCGATATCTTGCCGATAGGCTTAAAGGCCAGGCAGTCTTTGAGCCGCTTTGAGCACTTCCAAAAAGGAACATTACACAGCGGGTTACGTTTTTAGCCTGACGCCAAGCCCTGAAGGCTCTGCGTGTAATCTGCGCCTTTGGAACATTTGGTTCGGACCCCTCAACGTTGCGGCTTCCGAGGCTCCGTGAATTCGGCTTGCGACGGGGCCCATGGCGCCTCTATGCTTTGGCAAGCCTGCGCTCAGGTTGCTCCAGTCTTCACCCGTACTTCGTTGCTTTCTCAAATCAAAGCTCCCCCCTTCCGGTTCTTGGCTGCTGTAAAAAAAACATGGGCCTAATTGCCAATGGGCCCAATTTGCGTCATAATCCAAACCTGGCACACCCAAAAACCAAGTACGAGCAAATCCGAGGGCTTCTTGCCGCATTGGCTGGGACCGATTCCTTGCAGTTGCAGATGCCATGGGCAAAAAAGGATCGGCAGCCAATTTTTTGGTTGGTCGACTTTAAAGGGGGAAACCCAAGAAGTTGACTTTTCTAAGTTGAAGGTGCTGAAGTTGACTTGACTTCAAAACCCCCAGAAAAAAGTTGAACAATGGAAGCAACCCACTGGGCAGCTGGGAAAACCTTGATTTCCCCCGGTGTTCATTGCGGCTTTCGGGCGGAGTCCGGAGTCAGCCCGCCTACCGGAGCCCAGGTACAGAAATGCTCCTGGAGCTCGGTGCCGGTGCCGGTCGCCGGGTGTTCCCAAATTTCTTTTGAGACAAGCCCTCCAATCGACCGGGTCCCTGGTGGGTTCTGTGTGAGTGGACCTCCTCAGTTACTGGGTCCCCAAAGTGGATTATATGTAGGGTACGTACATCACACTAACTTATTAACGGAGGAGGATATCAACCACAGCTTACTTGTACTAAGGTGGTCGTCCATCTGCAGAAGGCCCTGTATGTCCCTCAAACTCTGGGGGGGGGTGGGGAGAATACTTACGAGTTGTAGCTACCTCCATTTGCTTCAGGAGCCACCAACGAAATAATATGTTTGCCAGGCATTTCCATTTCCCTCCGAAACACACACGGTTCTCCATATGTCTAACCTAACAACGTCCTGCCTAGGAAGGAAACTCACATGAAACTGGTACTTCCAGGCAGTGATGTTCTAAAGACCACCAGGAACAAACCCTTCCACTCACTTACACGGAAGCTGACCGGGGGGGGGGGGTCGTCGTTTGAGAGGACATTGCTTTTTAGGTACCCTCCCGGTGCTATGTGAGTGGAAGAGAAGGTGCACAGATCTCCAAAAGATTCCTGCGACTCGAAGAAGAACATGCTTTTCACGGACAGAACCGTTGGAGACGCGGACTGTGTTCAAGCAAGGTTGTGAAATGCATGCTACACTAGAATCACTAGAAGTTGACAAAAACAATCACAAACACGCCGCCCAGTACATATTCCGATGCACAATTTTGACCCTGGATTAAAACAAAAAAAAGGTTGGTGTTGATTGGGGTATTCAATTCCTTTCAGTGGGGATTCAGACCACTTTTGGAGGGGCCCTACTTGGATCCTGGGTCAACATTGCATCAACCAGCACCCCCAACCACGGCTTTTCCCATAGTACTTGGAACTTTGGAAATGGGCAAAAGCAGTTGTTGGAGAAGGTTCATACAGCCCTTGCTATAACCCTCATGGAAGCAGATGGTAGAACCACCTGGGCACAAAACTGCCAGTTGGGATAATCACACGTACCAAACCTGCCTACAAAGGACTATCCTATGGGCGAACATTCTATGGATGATACCTCGCACAGGATTATCCCATCACCATATTATGCAATGTATGCATGTGGGTGCCTCTTGCAATACCCACAAAAAAAGTGAGTGTCCTTGTGGTTTCCCTTCAAAACAACTCCAGGGGCACCCTCAAAAGAGACCCCCCCCTGTCGTGGATCTGAATGTGGTGTGGCTATCTTCGCATTTTGCTCCTACGAGGGACATGATCTTGTGATATATTTACCACACAAGGACGCCTACGTCGACCACAAATGCACAATTTGCCCGGAATACAAGTATTCATAGGATCCCACCCTCCTCGCCCCCAACCATCCTTCTCCTGGTTTCCCCCCAAAATAAAAGCAGGTGATATGGCCTCATGGGTGTCTTTTTTGAGGGTACCCTTTTTGTTGGCTGGCTTTAAATGGAAACCCGCACTCTTTTATTTGTTTGGGGCCGAATTCCGAACCCGGCCTTTTGTGAGGCACATGTTTTTTGGGGGGGAAACCGGGGGAGGCGGATACGGTACTTGTGCTCCTCCGGTGACCACAAGTTGGCGAGGCAAGGCATCGAGTCGGAAAGGTCTGGTGAAGTGTCTTGCAGTTTGTGCCTCGGAGAGACTGCTCACCTGAGTGGACTGACCAAAAAAAAGTGGTACCAAACCAAAAATGTTTGCCACCAAAATAGCAACCAAATCCAACAAGTGACGAAAGTCCGAAAAGGAATTCAGGGAGTGCAATCATCCAGTGAGTGTGGTGTCTGCCCTCTCATTGCAGTGGTAAAGGGAAACAAGTTCAGATCCTGATTCTAATAGACAGGGAAGAGACTTCGGTCTCGTGGCTCCGAGAGCCAAGAATTCAACTGCTGACACAGGTTTGCCTTTCGGAGAAAGGTTTTTGCAGCTGCCCCAAAGCTGCGCATTGCTGGAGCTTCTGACATGAATTCACTGGACGTGCGGGCGACTGGGCCTCTCCTAATCCCTGCCCCGAGCCAAAAGGCGGGGCACTGTGCACGCCGGTTTCACAAGTCCACACAGCAACTGGTGTGCTTCACTTTCTACATGTGCCACATGTAGGGTTCTCCCTCCATTTACTCCCCAAAGAAGCCCAGGTCCTCCACTAAAGAGGTTAGAATAAGAGTGCCCTCTTTTTTCTGTAGTCTATTTTAGTAGGGGAACCCTCCCCGAAAAAGAGTAAAAGGACGCTACTGGGGGACCTGGAAGTAGTAGAATGCCAATGACAGATTGTCAGTTCTTATTGGGTCCCGCACCCTTTGGTGGACATCAGCATGGCCACATTTGTCACACGAGGTGCTTCCCTATTGAAATGTATAGCCATGGGCTTGTCTTGAAAGGGGGGAACCACCCCCAAAATGTGTGGTTTCCTTGTTGGGCTTCCCTTTAACTGATAAAACCAACCAAAAGGGGGTTTCCCCCCCCCAAAGAAAGACATGACACACCCATGTTTGGTGTTGCAGCTCCGAAGGCAACGGTGTCGCTCAAGCATTCCAAGTTCTTAACGCTTTTTTTCAAGGCTTAAGGAGCAAAGTGGCAGGAAAAGAAGTGCCGTAGGCATACCCGAAGGTAGCATAGCTGCCCCATTTCTGACTTAAAATCGATGGGTGTCCTGGTAAATGATTTCTAAGACCCATCTAAACCAGTGGAACCCATCTAGTTCTAGCCAAAAGCTAACCCATCAAAAGGACAGCCATGTGTTGCAGTTTCACCCCTTGCAAAAACATGTCTCCTTTCCCAAAGGGTCAGAACCCGACCCCCGGTCAAAACAAAGGTCAGATCCGGGCCTTAGAGGCTTGTAGCCCTCTCTCCTAGTAGGTGAATGGGGTCATCACAAAACTGGGCCCTGAGATCCCCTGCTGAATGCTTGACTTGTGGAAACTCGGACACAGCCACGAAGCCAACAAGAATCATCTAAGAAAAGCAAAGGAACCGGATTGCTGGTGGCCCCGGAACCCCGGAACCACGGGTTCGGGAGTGACACGAGAGGCTCAGTCGGCTCAGAGGCGGGTGACAATGACATTTGAGGGGGTGTCCTCGTTGGGTAACTTTTCTTGGGTGATTTGGCTGTGTCTCATTAGTCCCGTTACCAAAAATGGGGCAAGCCCTGGTCAGTGGAAACATGGGTACCAAAACGTGCGGTTTGCCCCTCCTGTTTAGTTTTGAGTGTACCCCGGCTAACCCCTAACCGAACCTCCGCCCCGGGGGGGGGGGGGTTCGGGTTCGGGTTCGGGGCCGGGTTCGGGAAGTGGGCAGTTGCATGAAGTTTCATGAATCAATCGCTGTTCAACCAACCTTCGCGCGAAATCTTTACAACAAAATTACCCACGACTTTAGAAGCCTGTGGTCTCTTCACGGCAGACCACAAAGACAAGCCATAAGAGACTGCTTGCTGATCTGGTCGAGATTTATGTGGCATTTGGCAAGCAGTAAGCTAGCAACACCACGAGCATCACTCTGCAGACCGCAGCGATCGAGTCTGCCATGCGTGAGCTGAGCAGCAACAAAAGGCGCACGCCTGAGCATTTGATCAGTGGCGCCACTACAAAGGGTACAACTGGCTACGCATGCAAATGGCTGGATGGCTCCGGTGCGATGGTGGATTTGGCAAACTCAGTCGAACCCCACAGAATGCCAGATGTCTCGAAAAAAACTAGGTCCTCCAGTAGAGAGGTTAGAAATAGGGTACCCCTTTTTCTGTAGTCTATTTTAGTAGGGGAAGCCTCCCCCCCAAAAAAGGTAAAAGGGCACTACTGGCGGACCTAGAAAAGAACGAAGAAACAGCGACGGCAAGGAAGCGGCCAAAAAAAAAGAGTTTCCTCACAAACAAATTTCTGCTTCCCTGTCCAACACCAAGATTGAATACTCCCCCGATTGAGGCGCTTGGCATCTGGGCTTGGAGAGCATGATGCTAAAGCCCATTGGTCGGTTTTTACGGGTTCTAATCCAGTCTCAGACGTACTGGTAGTGCCACTTGCCGTTTGTCGTTCTATTTTTTCCGATGATCTCGTGAACTACTCTGGGTGTATGTCATGCGAGGATCTACAAACTATAGGTGGTGTTCCTTTAAGCCATGCCAAAAAGAGTAATTACCCTCCAGTGACCAGGAAGCTCGCGCGAGCCATCCGGAACGCCCTGCCAATGGCTCAGCCGATGGAAAGCACCTCTAGCGCAAACCATCCGACATAACTCACAATCAAACCCTACTAATGTCTCCGAAACACTACCCACCATGTCAAGAACTATCAGAGGACGGCAGCGCCGAATTCTGGCTGTGGATTGTTTGTCCTTTACAACCCTGCATCTACCTGAATCGGTTATTGATTGCGGCTCATGCGGCATGGCTGAAATCCCCGAAACCGCGTGGACCAGTCCTGCTTGTGATACAAGTGATCCAACTTTAATGTTCGGGTTCGGGTTCGGGTTCGGGTTCGGGGCCGGGTTCTTGGTGGGGGGGGGGGTTCGGGTTCGGGTTCGGGTTCGGGTTCGGGTTCGGGTTCGGGTTCGGGTGGGGTACCTAATGTCCAGTAGAGACGTTAGAATAAGGGTACCAACTTTTTCCGTAGTCTATTTTAGTAGGGGAACTCGCCCAACCAAAAAAGGGTAGAGAAGGGCACCTAGTTGGGGGACCTACTCAATCATACACAAGGCCCCCAGGCTCGCTGATGTGACACGCTGCTTTCTGATCGGCAGCTCAAAACGACGGTGAAACGACGGTGAGACGTTGGGACTTGAACTCTCAACGCATGTCGGTGCTATCACACACGGGAAACAAGTATTGCTTGACTCCGTTCCATGTTTAGTATAGCCTACAATGTAAATATTGGAGGAGACCCTACATCTAAGGCATGCTGTACTGGCTATTCCCCGTCCCAACTCACAAAAAGGTACCTTGCACCTCACAATTTCAGGGCTGGACTTGCTCTGGCAGGCGTGGTGGGATCTGTCCGAAAGACTATGCAAAGGGAGGAAAGGCACCAATTCGGGACATGAGAGGTTGACAATCTTCTGGCTCCATCAAGCTATCATCCCCGGAGGAGTAGCTTAAGAGAAAGGATCCCTGTTCCAACTGCGACAACCCGGAGAAAAGTCAAAGGCCCATATCATCTGTGGCACCCTTTTGTCCGGACGTTAGACAACTCCAGGACGTAGATGCAAAGCACTGTAACGGCAAGACACAAACAATATCCTGGATTCAAGCGTACGGTTCAAGAGAAAGGTAACTATGAAGCCTGCTCAGGGTTTTGGAAATGGTTGAAAAAGCGCTGTGGAGTTGGGACCCGGGTGCTGGTATCTAGGGCCATGCGTGGGATCCGATTTCATTCACTGGCCCATACATTGGCTTGGGACGTGTCATTGAAACCAACCAGCTCCTGGCACACAAAGCAAACCTTACGTCGGAATTTTACTTTTAGTTTAGCGTTCAACTCGCTACTTCTATCCAAACAAGCATGGGTGTGCTGTTTTCAGCGGGCCCCCTCTCAAATGATGGTTTTCCTCTGTGGTTCCCTTAGAGAGGGAGCCCGGGGCCGTTCAATTTCGAAATGTTACATTTGTATGGTTTAAAGGACAACCAAAAGGAACACCACGTTTTTGTTGTGGGTACATTAAAAAATATATACACCCAAGTCCACATTCTGACCAGCAGGTCCCAACAACTGCGCTGTGCATGAAATGGTTAGAATGGAGTTGATGGGTGGGAGAGGTTTCCAAAACTACTTTCGGGGGTCTTTCAAGTAAACCGCCATTTGGAGGGTAAATTTGAAGATGTCACTGGAACGGACCTGGAGAGAGGGAGATAGAGAGGAAGAGAGAGAGAATGAAAAAAGAAAGAACCACAAACACACATGATACAAAGCCTATGATTAGCGAACACTGTCCGTTCAGAGCCACTCTTTCTTACTGACCATCAGCCGCATTGCGGCGACCCGGAACATCATTTGTCCTGGGTCTAAACTTCTCACAGGCCGCACCGCGAAATGCACAAAATACAAAGGTCCTTCAAACTACCTACTCGCCATACCAGGAAGTTTAGACAACTTGGCGAATCCCTGTTCCATGAATGTATCGATATGTTTGTGCATATTGCATACTGATGCCCCACCAAACAAAACAAAGCGTGTTGCCCCACACAATAATTGGATGACTCCCCAATTAGGGTATAGGTAATTGGATCCAACCATCAGAGGTTTCAGTTGGGCAAAAGATGTTCTCGGATCGTCATCCCTACGAACCCAAATTTGGCCATGGGCATAACCTATATGGCTCCATTTTGGTGTGGATGAACATCCATTTGCCAGCTATTTTGATGTTCACCAGGGGTACAGGGTTTTGACCCACGGTCAAATAAAGGGATTTCTTCACCCTGGTGCAACCTTTTGGGACTCGAACACCGATCCGTTTTGCGGCGCAACGCAAACCATCTGCGGCGCGTTTCGAATCGCCCCATCGCCTCGCAGGCTCAGCGGCCTTGGATGCCGTTGGCGCCCGTCTCGAAATTTAAGAACCATGTCCTTTAAGCCTCTGGAGAAAAAAACAACACGTCCAGTGGTTCCCTTCAGAACCAAGGAGGGAGGATAACAA